TTCAGCATTGTGTATTTGGTCTTTAAGCCATTTGCGCCAGCTTTCCTACCTTTCAATTATTATGAAGCGAAGACTTTATTCTAGTTTTCTTCAACATGCATTCACCTTGACTTGTATACCACAAAGACCTTCGGAGGCTTACCTAGCGGTACCATAGTTATGGAACAGAGGAAATGGAATCGATAGCTTTCTCTCAGCTCAAGCTGACCACAAATCATCCGACTCCAAAGTCTTCCCGAAGAAAAATGGAAAGAAAGAAAAAGGTTTTTAAATCTAGAGAAGGTCAATTCATCATGCATGGAACTTGATAGCATCAGGTCTTGTCTGAAGATGATATTCGAACTTGAGCACAACTTGGCAGAGACATAGTATAAACGGAACATCCTTGTTGGATGGTGTTTTCGACGACGACGGAAACCCAAACAAACATTTTTAGCGAACAATGCAGTCAAAAGGAGGCGTCTCTGGTGCTATCGATTTTGGCTGTGGTAATTTAGCAAATTCGTCGTGAAATTCCCGAAATGGCAAGCTTTTTACAAGTGGCTCAAGGCTAAATGAAGCATTCAGTGGATGGTAAACATGCCAACATGCTAAACGAACACAAGCGTAAAGGGCATATGTTTTTGTGGAGTAGTAAGGGAATTGCTGTTTTCGCACTTTTCCCCCATACACTTTTTGTTTTTCGGCTCAATCTCTAACGTGGATGCACCATCAGATTGGGAACTGGTTAAAAAGTGGCCATTGAAACATTATGTTGGATGTCTGGCAAACCTTCTGCAAGGAAGCTTGACTTTTTTTGCAGTAGAAGGCAGTTTGTCTTGAAGTTAAACTGTTCGCCTGGCTTGTTCTGTGGATTCAAGCGTGCAGTAGCAAGCAAATTTGCCCTATCAAAAAACGAAGGGCAGTTTTATGAAGCTGAAAATCGAAGGTTCTCCCGTGTACCCATAGTATCTCGAGGTAAATAACTTTATACCTACAAAAAATGTTCACTTGAAAGGTTTTGGTCAACTGGTTGTACTACACTATTGCAAAAGCACCGGCGATTCGCCATCTCTGAATTATGATACACCATACTATGGCCTGGTAACCCCATCCCAGTGAACATCAGCTTTTTCCTCGATTGAGATTTCTCGAGGTATTTTCAAAAAATTCAGCCTATCCCTTTGAAGACTTTTTCGAGCTTTTTTTACCATATCAAAAATACGCTTTACCTGTAGCCATTGTTCTACGTGGAATCGCCCAAGATCGGCTGCAATGCCACCCAAATTAACCCTCCAAGATAGATCCTTAGAGATATGTCCATACGCAATGACTTGACGAATCTTTCTTTACATAATCACCTATGGGGCTTGCTTTTTTTTAATTTTTTCGCAAATTATTCTTCTGAAAGGTTGTTTTTCTCTGCACGCTCCGGGTACTGCGAAATGGTTCCCAATTTTAAGAAGACCATTGGACCACAGCAGTTATCGACTGCACGCTGTGGTAGGGTAAACCACAAGAGTAGAATAAGTGAATCAACAAGACTCAGGCTTTTTTATGAATGATTTGAATGGTGATGAGGTTTCTTAGCGGATGTTTTGTACGAAATGGACTATCTGCTCGTTGGTTCTGGAGAGAAGACAGTTTACCGAACAACACTGGTTCTTGATAGGGTCGAATAAAGATTCACTGGTTTCCGCTCAAGAAAAAAGACGGCTACCTTTTACCTGTATTCACTGCGATAAGAAAATGCCTCGTGAATCTCATGTGCTTTTGGCGGACATTATGGATGTTCTTTCTAGCCGCATTAGTTTCAATAGTTGGTGATTGCATGTAGTTAGTTGGCTCATGTCCACAGTGACGTATTAGCTCGTGACATATCCCTAGAATAGACGTTTTCCCATTCACAAGACGTCGTGACGGAGTCATTACTGTAGTTCAACGGCCGATAGAGGTCTTCAACGATATTCTCTGATCTATTAAGCGCTCATCTCCGCCTACCCATACACATAATATCTGAGCTGCGACGGTTATGCGCCTTTTAGTTCTTCCTTCCAAAAGTGGGACACACCGTTTTATGGAGGAGGAAAGGTACAGAACCCAGTCCGGAAAGAGCCTCTCACCACTTACCGTAAGACCTTGGCTCTACATTCGACGGGAATCTAATAGGCCCAGTCCGTGGGAAAGAGGAAGTGTGTTTTGATGTACAAGAAAGGACCTATTGGCAGCTATCGTCCGATCCGTTTGCTGGTTGCAATCTACAAATTCGCGGCGCACGAGTCATCCTTAACAAAGCTGGCAGAAAACTTAAAGACGGGCAAGGATACGAGAAAGCAGTGTTCTGAAGGGGAAGGGAGATATTCTCCGTAATCATACACATCTACACAGTCACAAGACTCACTGTAGTGTAGGGAGAGAACAAGATGCCTTCAGCTCTCATGTTCTCGATTTGAAGAATGTCTTCAACAACCATAATTCGAGACAGAAATGGTTATACAAGTCCGGATGACTAGGGTATCCTACTCAATACGTAGTGATACTGTACGTGAACTCTACCAAACTCGCAACCAGAACTCGCCATTGTAATGTGCAAGGAAGTCATCGTTAGCGTGCAAAGAGAAATCAGAAGCTATCAATCACGTCAAAGAGCGAAGAACAAGAATGTTGCGACAAACGCCAAGGAACCGAAGACGAGGTATGTCTGACACTTAATGCATTCTTGTGATGACCGTTGGACAAGAGTGTTTATGGCTGGATCCCCTGGGACGACAGACGAACAACCGTAGTCTCGGTAGCCAGGCTCTCTCACAAGCATTACATTGCTCCGCACCACTCGAGACTAAATACACTGGACTAAATTCGTTAGTATCGTATAAAGCGGTACTGGCTCCCGCCTGAGCAAATCTATGATCTAGCATTGATCATTCAAAGAAACAAAATGATAGGAATAATAAGTAGTCGCAGCAAACCCTGCAATGGCACGATTTCTTTTGCATCGCTCTACGACGCCAAGGAAACTTGGGAACGTTGGGCGGCTCTCCAACGATACTTTCCGGTCGCAGACCTGACCTCCCATAAAACTATAAAACTTCAAAATATCAAAGTAAGGGGTCATGTCGAGTAAAACTGGTAGTGGGACCGGCTGACTAACACATGAACGAAAAGCATTCATTATGAGGTTGCTTTGAATCATTACGTATCTGACTTTTCGAGGGTGGCAGAGGGGGGAGCTAGCTCCTATTGACACCAGCTGGAATCAAATGGCTGAGTGCCACTTGTTTGCCTGACCCAGAAAAGTTTGAAAATCTTTTACCTACTAGGATTTCGCCGGCGTATATATAACTTTAGGTATCAGGAACCTTTCGAGGCCTTTTTTTTGCAAGGTTATTCTATTTTCTGGGCGGAGATGGTATAGCGGAAGTGGCGCCCAATCTCACACGCACGGGCAGGGGTTAGAATCCCGGATCGATGCCCGTTTAGGCTAACCAAGCCTTCCATCCCTCCGGGGTCGGTGAATTGGTACCAGACTAGGTTGGGAGGATAAAAGCACTGACTTGTAACATCGGCTGGCCACCGCAATTCATTGTACAGGCCACATACGCACTCATTAGGCCCCTACGATGCTGATGGAAGTCGAGTGCGGGGCGCAGCATTCAACGGGATTGATTAACGCCAGAAAGTTCGAGTTGTTGTCGTAAGATGTGAAATTTCATTAGAACATTTCAGCTTTCCCTTCCTTCAGAAGTCCCAATTAGGATTTTTCTGCTTCTGACGTGATCCGATCTACAGGTTTTGATACCCACCTTCTCAAATCTTACACTCTTCGTGAAGCATTTCTATAAATAAGCAAATTCCTGTTAAAACCTTTCTGCCAGCTACTTCGTTTCTTTCTGTCTGTTAACCAGTGCACAGTACAGACTAGGCAACAAGAAAGTTGCTCTCATAGGTTCAAGTAACCTGCTTTTGAGTGTGGGGGAAATGTTACAGGTGTGCAGGGAAATCGTGAAACCTATGGGATGGTCTCGATGAAGTTGGCCTTTACACATTTTCCTTGCCGTTCATTCCTGCCGAGAGATTGTAATATGTTGACGGTTCTAATTCATGCGTTTGAACTAGATGGAGGAACTTGACTTCATTGGAGAAATTGGTATGAAACAAACGTCAACAGAGAAAACCAACATAAATAATGGATAGTTGAATTGAAATGAACAAATACAAACTTTCATGCCTCAACGACTGAATCGAATAAAGGCAAGATTTTAAAAACAATATTCAGAAGGAACGAAAACAGTCTTCAAAAGCTCCAAAATACAGCACAATCTGAAAATTTTGCGACATGACAGTTCTCAATACACGCACTGACGGGCGCATGAAGTAAAACTCAATTTTAATGTACATCAATTGCAGTCACGAAATTGCAGTCAAGCAAGGATTCACGCTCCCGCTTCAAGACTGAAAATTAATTCGCGTTTCAAAGTGAGTTGTCTCATCTTCATACCCGCTCGGTAACTCGGCGTGGCCGTCCTACGCTGAGATACAAACTTGAGCCGTCCCTCGGGAGCACCCCCTAGGCCGCTAGGCGGCGAATGCTCTGCTCCGCCATTTCATGAAAAGCACGAACAAGATACTGGCCTGCGCTTTCTTCCTGCTTTTAGTGAAGGAATGAAGCGTTGAGTAGCTTCACTCCCTGATAACATAGATTAACATCAGGATGTACAACGTGACCTAAAGGACAACTATCTGAGCTACTTCTCATCCTTTAGTCATCATCAACGCGGAGCTATCGTGAGCTCACAATCTACTCTGTCATTGAAATTTATGGGACAACCTGGGGTGCGTGTATTGAGCAAATAAATGAGAGATAAAAAATAAGATAAACAACAAACACCATGCGACAACAGAATGAAAATTCAACCAATACAACAACACTGAACAAGAACCGAATAACTGATAGACACTGCGTTACTTCACCTCGACTATCGACTTTCGAGCTATACCTCAAGATCTACATATTGCTGCAGCTAATCCGAACCGGGAGATCCAGCAGGTTCTTGATCGGATGCACCGCCATCTCCAGCTGACTTCTCATTCAATACAACAAATTCTCGACTTGAAAACCCAAATTTGAGCACGTCTTTCTCCTTCAACTCTACGTATCTGAAGAGCGAAGGTTGAGTAAAAACCGAAGAAGAGTAGCAAAGTAGTCTCTACCTACTTTTCCGAAAAAAAGTTAAGGATTTTCTAAGTAACATAAGAGCTTCTGTAACAATTGTAGAGTAATACTGCATACCGCTGTGGCTCAATCTTGTTTCCATTGAGGAGTGTGCCATTCGAGCTACCCAGGTCGATTATATACGGCAACACACGGCGTCCTTTCGTTCCGTCACTGCGTTCAAAGGGAACTGATCTGAAATATCCGTTGCTAAAAAAAGCAGTGAAATATTCCAACAAAAACCGAATACCATTCAATTATATTAGGTTGTAAGGAAAGTTATGGCCGTTCCCACGTATGTGCCATATGAATTGAAATTTTGGCGGATGTTCATTCAGACTAATGGTGATATTGTGCTTCTTAGGCAAGTCATTAGTTGCTCTTTCTGTCATGGCGCTTTCCCCAGAATCTGTAAGGTTTTGGAATTTTTAGGAGGTTTTTCTTGGCAGAATGGCTAAGACTACTTTTTGAATGGTTTTACTTCACGAGTTCGAACTTGGTCGAACTGCGAAGGAGGCAGCCACAAACATCAATGTTANAGTAATGATGTTGAGCCTTTTCTCCATCGTATTGTAACGTGTGATGAGAAATGGATCCTGTATGATAACTGGAAGCGTTCTGCTCAGTGGGTGAGTGTGGATGAGCCTCCAAAAAATTTCCCAAACCAGGTTTACACGTCACGAAGAAAATGATCACAGTTTGGTGGATTAATTCACTACGCGTTTCTTCTTTCAAGTCAAACCATCACCGCGCAGCCCTATTGTGATCAAATTCACGAGAAATTCACAAAACTGGGGTAAATGCAGCCAGCACTAGTCAATCGACACTGTCAACTGCTCTTGCACGACAATGCACAACCGCATGTGTCACAAACTGCCTTCCAGAAGCTGAACGAGCTGGGAATAGAAGCTCTCCCTCATCCATTCTACTCACCAGACCTGTCACCAACTGACTACCATTTGTTCAAACATCTGGGCAACTTATTAAAGGAACGAGTATTCAAAAATCAAGGCAACCTGGAAGCTGCCTTTCTCGAGATCTTGGAATTCAGATCTCCGGACTTTTATAAGAATGGAATAAACAGACTTGTATCACGTTGGTGAAAATGTGTGGAATCGAATGGGGCTTATTTTGAATAAAAACGTTCACTTTGAGATGAGTTATAACTTTTTGAAAGTTAGCTGACAAAACGGCCAGAACTTTCCTTACAACCTAATAATTTCATTTACAGCCACAAAATTCATTCAGAATGTATTTTAGAGGCCAGAAATTCAGAGTGCGCTGAAGCTGCTCCCATTTCCCTTTTTTACAAAAGGTTTTAAAACTGCCTCTAGGATTTTTGAGTGTAAATTACCTTGGTTTTGAGTTTGAGGACAACTGGAACAGTCAATTGATTTGTTAAAAATATTGGAATCATTAACCTGTATTGTAGAACGGCATGCTGTTTACTGCAACTTGGATGGTCGATAGGCAAGTCGGCAATTTTTCGATCTCTGCCAATTAAGTATGCCGATTGTCTATGGATATGGAGGACAGGTAAGGCCTCCTCGCCCTTGAATGGATATAGACGCCATCTGAACATAGCATAGTTAATTTTTTGAAGTAAAACCATTGTGAGAGATATCACATGGGTTGAAATTGGTATCCTTTCAATACCTTAGGAATACTAGTATCATATTTCTCAGAAACTTAATGTAAATCCTCACCTGAGCGTCGGTTTCTTGGCTTCCGGAGGCTCATTATATTTGATAAGCACACCGCGATACATATTAGTGTCTTCAGCCAATTTTCCACTAACTCCGAGATTTACCTGAAATTTTCGGATCCATTTCGAAAACCCACTATTTAGCGCTGCTAATAGCGTAGTAGTATACCTTTTCTTTCTCCTTTGGAGGGTCAGCTTTTTTGTCGGATCCCCATCCTTCTGATGCTCCCCAACGTTCCCTTGAAACGTGAAAAACTTCTGCGTCTGTTGATGCATCCAGACTTGTGTTAGATAGAAGTCACTCACTTTGATTTTATAGCGGATTCACCTTCGGGACCTTCATCATCATCCACTTCTTTCTTGGCTCCTGCATTGAAATGAAAATGTAAGAACGACACCAAAAAAAATATCCTAGTACAAACTTTTTTCGAGTCCATAGCTCTTTGCTGAGGAATCACGTTGTTTGGACTTATCCTCGTCCTCACGCTCCTTTTTGATTTCACGGGATCCCTCACTTGCTTTCGATCCTCTGAAACTTCAGCTATAAGAGCGAACTTCAGATAACAGTAGATTCTGGAATGACGAATGTAACCGATACCGATCTGTTTGAGACTCCCGTCTGAGGTTACCATCCTCATTTCGAGACGTTCTCCTGAACAGTTCCGAGGTTCATATAATTCTAGTCGCTTACTCACTACATGGCTTCACGAAAGGGCGGGAAAAGCGTGCTGCGGTAATGGCTAAGCCCAAATTCTACAAATGCAGGTTTTCTAGTGGTGCCTTTGGTGCCGAATGCTCCTAGCTCAAAAAAGCGAAAGCAGTCGTTAGTATGCAATGATTCATGAATGAAGTCACACTAGTTTGCTTGGTAGCATAATTCAATATGCCTACTTACAATAAAGAAAAATACACTTAATTGACTTATTGAAGAAAAGCAAGCTAAAAACAGAGAAAAATAAACTTACGTGTCCCTTCGTTTCGGTGAAGGCGATCTTGACTTGGATCTGAAACATTTACATCAATTCTCCATTTCGAGGCAAAAAAAATCAATAAATTGAATAAGTGAACCTCTGTCGTCCTTTTCTCGGCTCGTCTTCAGACCTGAAAGAACTGCAGGTTACCAATCGAAAGGAAATTCAAGTCAACTGAGCTAGTAGCTCAAGACTCTCGCTCACTTCTTCTTAGGTGAATCCACCTTACCGCGTTTTCTCTCTGGAGAGCTTGTCCTGCAGAAGAAACAAATCACTTATGCCACAGTGCTTCTAGAAAGAGAAAACTTACGTTCCCTCGGCGTCAGAACTGTCGGACGAGCTAACTTCTTTCTTCACCTTCTTCGGCCACATTTTAGGACTATCTGGTTCTGCTCTTCCTCTGGAATCGCTACGCTTGCGTCGACGATCGCGAGAGTCGTCACGTCGCCTGCGTTCACGGGAATCTTCGCGTCTCCTGCGTTCGCGGGAGTCGTCACGCCGTCTGCGCTCGCGAGAATCATCACGTCGCCTGCGATCGCGTGAATCGCTACGACGCTTGCGTTCTCGCGAATCGTCCCTACGGCGTCGATCGTCCCAACGTCTAAATTCTTCTTGACGCCAACGATTATCTAGGTAAGTATCGCGACGGAAGCGATAATTAGGTGGTCGCAGAGGTCTACGTTCAGTGGGACTTCGACTTCGCTCACGTCTCTGAGGTGACCTGCTGCGGTCTCTACGTGATCTCTCATATGATCTTTCTTCTCCACTCCTACGCCTGTCACCGGATCTAGGGCTTCTGCGACTACTTCTTTCAGGTGATTCTTCCCTCCTTCCTTTTCGCTCATCTCCCCTCTCGTCAGATCTCGGGCTTCTGCGACTATTTCTTTCGGGAGATGATTCCTCCTTCCTTCCTTTCCTTTCATCTTCTTTCTCGTCCGAGGATGAGTCCTCTTCAGAACTATCCTTCGGTTTCTCTTTGGCAGAGTCACGGCTGACCTTTCTGTCAGATGAAGGATCACGACGCCCTCTTCTGGACCGTTCCTGCTCATCCAGTGCTTTTTCGCGCACCTTTCGATTCACTTCAGTGTTATCCTTCTCTGGAGGCGATTTTGCTCGTTCATCCTCTTCCTCTTCCATCGATTCTGATTCTTTTCTTCGTTTCTTCTCTTTCACTTCTTCTTCCACACGTCTAACAGGAGAAGCATGATCAGACTCACTATTCTCCGACTCTCTATGCTTCTTCTTGTGCTTTTCTGAGCGCTTTGAGCTCTTCTTTTTCTTCTTCTTAGATTTCTTTGACTTCTTTTTACGGCGAGGTTTCTCGACTTCATCCTCGTTCTCTGAAGATGACGCTGATGTAGAACGATCTCGTTTCTTTTTTGATTCAGATTTGGATCTTTTGCGTTTAGAATGTTTCTTCTTTCTCTCTTTTCTATCGTCAGACGATCTGAAATGAAAGTATCGTAAAAAAAAAAGATTAGGAACTAATTCCATGAAAATTACTTTGATTCCTCTTGAGCAGAGCCGTTTGAAGAGTCTCTGTTACGGCTCGTTTCCTTCTGTTTTGCAGCTTCCCTCAAATTAAAATAAGATATTTCAACAGTCCTGAATATCCATGACTGTCATTATTAAGAACCCGAAGAAGAACTATGCATGAAGAGTAGCAAGACTTATTCTATCTAAGTAAGCAGACACACTCGGTAGAACTCGTGAGTAAACAGCTTTTTTTACCTGGGCGGGGATCGATTGACCGTATTCTTTGACTGAGACTCCGGCTCTGTCTTCTTTCTTGAGGGTTTCCGCTCTTGAGAGGGTGACCGGCTTTCTGCAGGAGAGCTGGAAAATCGGGAAGACATGTTTAACAAAAAGCTCATAGTAGAGCAATTACATGAAATCATTTAAAATGCAAAAGTTCAACTGAAATGCCGCTTACGGAGAACGGCGCTCGCGCGTGTTTTTTGACTGCTCTCCTTTTTCCTTCTTCTCTCGCTCACGTTTACCAGGAGGGCTCCTTGATCGCGATTGACTCTTGCGCTGCCGCACAGGAGAGGACCTATTGTAAAGGGTTGGAAATGGCATGAAGAGGTATTAGGAAAAGAATGAACACAAATGGAACCATCTTATCGAACAAAATGCACATTGAACTTACTCTTTCTTCTTTTCGCTAGATTTGGAGGACTCCTCCTTCTTTGGCTTTGGAGCAGTTTTCTGATCTTTTGACGAAGTTCTGAAATGTGATTCGAAAAACCAATGGTGCCAATATCAGATAAGGTATAAGCGGCGGAAAAAAAACGGATGAAAACGAGCCCGAATTGTTATCGATCTTACTACGGGCTAACGGCTAGTATCGAGGAATCGAATTGAGCTGCGCCTCGAAGAAGCAATTCTCCAAAAGACCAGTAAGTAAAGATTGTCTACTCAACTTCAAAAAGTTCAGCTCAGTGACACCATGCCGAGACTCATGAAATGCCATACATGGTGAAATAGAAAAGACGTTGTCTTCGTACATCTTTCAGAAAAAGTGTTAAGCCTGATAATTTATTGAGAGCTTCTAGATACAAGCCCTCTCTACTCCAAATACGCTGGCAACCATCCATTACTTCTGTTGATATGAAAGTAGGTATCTGCATATGAAGGACATACCTCTTGCTCACCGGAGATGACTCCTTCAATTTTTTCGCATCTGAACGTGGATGGCGAGATTTCTCTGCTGAAATTACGGCGCTTCAACTTGGGAACTACATTACTGATCATCAACGAATTGCTCCCATCACTGGGCAAAGCGCTGCTCAGTTTTTCACAACACTGTCTCTATTTAATTCTAAAAAATACTCAGAAAAGTGCCTATTCGCATTCCTTTGCTAATACCAATGTCATTGACATTATTTTCATAACATTTTCCCCGTCATCTCTCCAAGTAATAGGAAACAGTTTCGCTGGACTTACCATCAGAATCAGAGCTGCTCGAATCGGAGCCAGACGAGCTGGACGAGCTGCTAGCCGAAGAGCTACGATCCTTTGCTTTCTTGGCTGCTGTTTTTTTACGGATGTCTGCTTTGGAATCTGCTTTTTTCGAAGAGCCATCGCGTTTGGATGCATGGTGCTTCATAACCGCTTCACCACGACGCTCTTCAGGATCGGAAGGAATCGGTTCGGCGTCCACTTCATCTCCGAACGAGTCGTGACGACGTTTCTTTGACATACCCTGCAACGAATAATCATGAAAACGAAAAGAAATCAACGCTAATCTCCACGAATCGCATGAAAAAGATAAGAAATGCACCATGAAAACGTACGGAATTGATCTTGAATTTCTAAAAATAGACAAAGTCCGATCAAAACAATCCTAGGTGTTTTCTACTTGGCGGCAAGTACAGCTGGACAACTGGTATGACAATAACGAAATTATGAGCATTATTAGGTAATTGGAAACTGATTCCAAGTCTTTATAACTTCTGTAACTTCGAACTTTCTTCATGAATATAGGTTGGATCGGCCGACAGATCCCAACATAAAACGCACGTTTAGAGTTAAGCAGGAAACAGAGTTGCTAGCAAAAAGAAAGAAGTGTCGTTTCGATTGATTTACTGCAAATGAATAAATAACAATTTATTGACTGACGTCAGACATTTGAAGGCGTTCATTCTGCCGCACTGACGTAAACTATAGGATTTCGACTGTGATTACGTCAAACACGCATAGCTACGCGAAGACTGCCACCAGTTGGGAAGCGTTTTGATCTGAAGGGTAGGAATTGGAAGGAGGGGTCCGTAATGTCCTTATCACAACTCTTTATTTCCTTCTCCCTGACCACTGTTTCTGTTGCAACAAAAAAAATCCCGAAGACCATGATTCCGATGGGGTTATACTGGCTCATAGTAGAACGGAGTATGCCGCTGTCACACAGTGACATTGGTCTACAACGTGGGGCGTATTCTTGCAGAGCTTAATTGGATTTTTAGCATTTGTCAGCTTGTAGATAGACCTTTTAGACATCGTCCTTTCCGCCTGGGTAAACGAGCTGTCAAAAACAGATGTCCTAGTAATTAGAAAGTACGGCAGTTCCACGAATCCAAATCTTCTGAGATCACTAGTATGAAGAGCTTTTACTTTTTTTCAGAATTTTCAATCATCTCCACTGAAACTAGTGCGATCCAGTTAATGCGCCAGTTCAGCGATCACGAATCGGATACTTACAGGATGAGTCACAGAGCTTGAAGGTGAGAAAAGGTCTTTATCAGTAAGTAGTTACGGTTCTGTACCAGCCGACATGATCTCCTTTACTGTAACGCTACTATAATTCACCAAAGGAAAGTTTGTTTGCGGATGCTGCATTCCACGCGAATAGCACTCTCTCAAAACAGTCAGCGACAGACATCGACTATAAACGCAGCCTTGATGTCAGGCGATTTAGGTTGCTTCACCCAGTTTTTGTTTTTACAGTTCTACAGATGCTCCTTGTTACCCATCTTTTACAGACTAGTTATTTCCTGAACTTAAGTCGACACATGGCTTGAGCTCTGCCACACCAAATTGCTTTTACCTGATTTTGAGTATTTTTGGGCTAACAATGAATACCAAATAGTTAAATACTTATATTTCTGTAGTCGTTTCGGTTACCCAACATTCTTTAGAGTGGCCCTCATTCGGAACAGCCTCCGTAGTTTTCGTCATGCTCTTTTGTTGTTTTGTTCCAGAAAAGCGCCATTGTCATTACGCTTCAATGTGAATAGGCTGGCAAGCCGAAGACGTTCAGAAGAGAGGCGGTACTTGGCAACCAGCCAGACGAATATCGATAACTACTGGCCGCCGGCGGGCACCACATAGGGAATTTGCTGCTGCGCCCGAGCTGCTTCACGGACGTGTGGATCAGCTGATTTGGATTAAATGACGTCATAGACGGCCGCTATCAATCGATTATCGACGGGTCAATTCTATTTCCGGTTCTTCAAACTATTCCGTCCACTGGCACAATGGCGACTCGACACTACGAGAGCAATACCAGGTTCGAAATGGTTTTTAGTCCTGAACTTTGAGTAAAAGTTGAAAATTTTGCAAGGAAGCTTTTCACTGTCTTATTATTTCGTGTCCTTGTTTTCGTCCAATGTCGAGTATGGAGAAACCACCGAGAAATTTAGGCAAAAGGAATTTCGAAATAGTATTTATACTGCGCGACCTGCAGCCGTTACACTTCGAGACAGTTCTGCCTCACAAACTTCATAAACTGCATGTTTTCATTGAGAAGGGCTTATGTAATTTTTGTGTTACTGTTCCTTATCGTAGATTAATATTGGCATGTACTCCACGAGTAATGGCATCCCTCAGGTGGAAATGAGCAGAGCAATAAATCTAAAAGGGGATCTAATTTTTTACCTTACTTGGGTAGGTTATACCCGGAAACGAGAAAATTGCATAGGGAACACAGTTCTGTTGAAAGCTTAATCATTTTCGGTTTCCGCAGGCGAGGATTAGCAACGCGTTTAACGACATCTCAGAAAAGTTTGACGTCATTCGTGGCCGTTCTTCACATGAAATAGCAATAAGCGTCAGATAAGCCGTCATTCGAACGGATGTAATTTGCCATCACTGGAGTGGGTTTTCAGTAAGTGACTAATGTAAGAATAAGTAAGCAAGCTCGAATCACCGCCATCTAAAAAAGCTGTGTCTCACGGTAACAACCAGCCAGATTCTTACCGTCATTCTAAACTTCATTCCATCCTAAAGGTCGAATGGCGACTAGTCGAGAAGTAAAGAGTGTGAGACACATTAGTCGACTTGTTCCGCGAATCTTTCATTAGTACCACAGTAATCATGACAAAATTGTTTCTGCAAAGGAAAATTGTCTTCCCTAGAAATCCAGAGAAAATTAAGGAGTTTGAAAGTCATTCCGAACATTTCTGTTCGGCAGCCATGTCAGTAAGGGGATGTTCGTTCGAGATAGTTGGATAACAGGGCTTCGAATGTTTTTCCTGTTGCTCCTTTGTCGGGCTGTGCTTCATTGCACTCAGCTTGTCTGAGTACTTTTTGAATCGACTATTCATTGAAAACAACGTTATTGTAAACAAGCACTTTCCTTTTAGTGGAATGAACTTTGACCGCTTTCTGGACAAATTCGACGAATCAACTTTGGTAACGATGAAACGACATTATTGGACTGCTAAGCAGCTGTTGAGGACAAAACTGGGCAAGAAGGTAAGCTTTTCGAGAGCCTTCTGAAGAGACGTGTTTTTTTTATGAACTCCAATTTCCATGTTGAAGCGGACCTGTACGCTGACCATTCGGCCGCGCCACAAGCCATTCACGCTCGAACTCTGTATTTAATATATAAAATTTAAGGCACATTTTGCCATCTCCTACATTTGTTTTTTACTTAACGGTAGACAGCTGGCTACCAGCTGAAGTCTGGCAATTTGCCGCTGCCAGGTAACTTTCGTCGGACAGTAATGCCTTCAAGTAAAGTTTTGAAACGTACACAAACCGACCTATAGCTTTTTTCGGCCACAATGCAGTAACGCTCTCTTCAATTTGTTTTGATTCGATGCATTTGTTTGGACGAGTTCGAGTCCCGTTGAAGAGCAGTGTCTCGCCCACAACTCGATATCCATCTAAGGCTATTTTTGATTTTAATGCAAACACTCGCATTCTCGAACAGTGCCTGTTTTCATATATTGGTCATATGTCCTATGCAGAAAAGCTTAGTTTCGAATCNTAATTGCAGGAAGACGAGCATCTTCAAGCGTCCGATGCATCTCTCGACTCGAAGCTTACCCTATTCCGATCAGTCAGGTCCACATCGGAGAGCCTATTAGCTTGCATTGAAAACTATCAGGGGCTTCTTTTGGGTGAGTGCTCTTACCCTTATTTTGTTGCTGTTTTATTTTTGGAAGCGATTTTGACATCAAGTTCTTCTGGTCATCTGCGGTCGAGAGCAGCCATGAAAGTAGGAATACTCCTTTGTGGTGATCATTATCGTACTAATTTGTTCTTGGATTGATTTGGTCTTGGTTTTTCGATGAATGTTTTGATACATTGGATGCCTTTGAGTCTTCCTCCAGCTCTAACTCTGATATAAGGAGTAAGAATATACTTGCCGATGTGAGTTTGCGGCCAAAAGAATCATCACCGGTAACGATTTTCTTGAGTGCGTAAATGCAGCACACGCATGCATAAATTTTTAATATTTTCTTATTCTCCAGAAATTGTTTTTGCTAGTACACCCTAGATAGGCTCAATGTTTTAGTTGACAGCCGGTTAGACGATTGGTAAGGCATTTCTTAGTTTTGCCAGTTTTTTATAAGCTTTATCGTCATGACTTCTTTCACAGTATTTAAAGATTCTCAGCATTATTAGTTTGATCTCATCAAGTTACCATTTTAACTTTATTGCATTTGAAAATATTCTTTACTGACACCTATTGTTATTACTTGGTACAACCCTACTGCAGTACTGTTCAAATGGCTCTTTGAAAATGATTGAGTGCTGCCTTCTCCACGCGCATACCGTAAATGTTAGTGGGTTCCAAGTTATTAACCAGTTCTAATTTTTGCCTCCAGTTCCTGAAAAATTTTTGTTTATATATGGGTATTCGCATTTGACCGTATACGAGTTGCAACGCGATTTCCTGGAAATACCTTAACTTTATTGCCGATTAGTGCCTCAAGATAAGCAACAAGGGGTAAACAGGGTAATAGTGTCACCTGGTCCGGACCGAAATTTCGTTTCAGAAGATAAATTTTAGTTATCGCTCGTTGTCCCGTTGTGTTTTCTGTCATTAGGTCTTGTTGTTTTGCCGTCATGCGGTTGTCACCACCAAAAATGCATTGCGTCGTCTTCATCAATAATGAAAGGCTTTACGAAATCTTGGGCCCATATTTAGCAGAATGCGAATGGAGAATTAAACGAACTATTTCTATCAATCTTGGCTTCCATACAATTTCCGTTCTCAGTGAAGAAGCTTTAATCATTTTTTTNTTTTTTTCCTCTGAATGCAAGGAAAACAAATGGTTAGAAGCGAAGGGTCAATCCAAAAAATGTTAGAATGCCAGCGATGTTGATCGACCCTCCTCTGAAATCCGTTTGAGTGACACTTCTACGGGCTTCCCCTCCCCACCTCTCCATCCGCCTTACCACTTTTATTTTGTTTCGGGCACGACTCAAAACATACCGCATACCGATTCTATTTGGAGACCTGTTCATCTTGCGTTAATGATGGTGGGTGCTCACTGTTTTTCTCCTCTCTTTCATCCATCAGCATACCATTTCTGTCGTAAAAATGACTTTTATTCATTTACCGGCGCCATACCTCTTCACTGTATTAGAGCGCTAACTTTCATGGCCTTATAAATAGCTGCATGCCTACAACTTTTTTAAGGTCACAGAAAAAAGGTACCTTTGCAGTCTACAACCTCAAATCTTTCTTTAACAACCCTTTGTGTTGTTATTCTTCTGAAATATTGCTCGAAATATAGCACACTTGACCATTCATTGCTTTGATTAATCAATTTTCGGTGGCTTTTTTAATTTGTATTAACCTCGTTTTACATCCTGTTTATTTGTCCTTTCTTTGTCATCATTAGCAAAAACTTTATCAGGTTCACTTCGAGCTGGTCCCATCATGCTTTACCTATGATAACAATAATCAGCGACAACGCCAGGCTAATGCTCACCTAGCGATCGGCGCGGAAAACGAATCTGCAGCTCTGTGCTCATATTTCAATCTAAGGGGTGTTTTCGGCTCTGGAATATTAGCACGGATGTTTTTGACAGATGGCGGCATGGGAGATTACCTACGAATTTTCGCCAGCCGTAGTCCTCAACGGGCATTAGCTGTCGTATGCAGTGAATTGCAAGAGAGAGACAAGAAATTTGCAAAATTCTACTTGGTGCTCGTCAATTAATGCCCTAATAGGCAACCGTCACGCAAATTTAAACAACGAAAAATTTGTTCCCAGTATGTTCCCATTAAAGAGGCTTCTAACTCTCATTTTGTAGTCAGTATAGGGACCGTAGGGGTGGCTTAACTGACTTTTAGTGCCCTTTTCCTTTGGTCGTCAACGATTTTTGATTAATTGGAAATCATCTGTGCACTCGAAAAACTTATGGATAAGCTGATTTTCACATGATAAGCCATTACAAAGTAAGCTAAGTAGAGCATATGTAGGAGAATATGCTAAAATATTGATAATACTTTGCAGTTAATTATAATTGGGCCTGCAACTGTACTTATACTATGTATAGTTGTGGTATTAATTTGACTTACTATGTCAGCCTAGTCCTCAAGATTCCCACAGTAATGTAATTTTGACTCGTCACGTAAATTACGTAAATTATGGGAGCTGGCTGATTCATAGCTGAGCATTCATTCATTTCACATTTGCTGTAATCCTTTATCCGATTTCAAAGGTGAAGAAGATTGGATTTGTTCAAAAGAAGTATGATACTACTGATACATGTAATAAACATAACATAACATAACATAACATACTTGGACCATTTCTGTAATAGTGAAGTTTATTGCCAGCAGGTCGCTTTCGGAGTGATGGAATGAATTTTGGGCCCTAATAGCCTTTTTGAGCATACTAGCTAGTAAAAACAATTTTCCATGCGATTGGTTTTTCAATTTAATTAGTTGAATGTAATCTACTGGTCCCTGTAGTAATGCGTTGGGGCACATGGTACGAGGTGTGCTGGTGTCCGCCTCTGCAACCAACTTTTCATTCGCCCGGTGTCGGAAATCGGTGCCAGACTTGTCTGATTGTGACAGCGCCCAACGGCACATCAGTTGGCTAAAACATGTGTAGACCACTAATACATTTGAAGTCACTACGATTCCAACTTGTTGTTAAATGGTAGGCGCATTCCGAAATTGGATTGATCAGCACGAGACAAACTTCATTTCCTTGTCCTTCAAGATGAGCTGCTGAAAATATTGAAAACAAAAGGAAATGCTGAGGCTGAACTTCATTCGCTCCTGTCCTACCCTCTTCCTACCCCCTTCTTTCGTGTCATTTTTATTATTGCCAAATTTTTATATTTGTCGCAATTAGGGCATGTTTTATTCTGCTATAATTTCGACCAACATTTTGCTCTTTTCGCCGTTTCCAAGGGCATTGGCTGGAAAAATGCTCATTAAGGCGGGGAATAACAGAGGATAGGAAGCGCTTGATGGGGTAATATGCATTTCTCAAGCCTCACGACGTTTCTTGCCATTGAATCGTTGGAAACGCCAAAATGTTGATTGCCATGAGGGCCCCTTGTAACGACGTTAGGCAGAATAGTAGGGATCTAGAACCAACGAGCTGGGCCTAGTTCTGAACTGGTACCCTCATAATTAGCTCGAGCCAAATCATTTCTTAAGGCGATAGAATGAACCTTGTAGAATCATGTTGAATCCTTGTTGAACAAATTTCACTTTCCTGAATTGGAAAAAGTAGCTCAGCGAATGGTACCGAGGTCAATGGTATCGCTAACCTCATTTGTGATTCATAGAATCTATTAATGCTTTCGACAATGCTTTCCGTCTCAACAGATGTTGGTACCAGTAATGTCAGGGAACAAATTGCTGGTGTGAACATTCACTATTTCGGATGCTAAATATGAGCCAAGCTCGTAATTCACGCTCCAACCATCCCGAATTAAACTGGAATGCGTGGCGCATTCTATAAAGTTAACCATCGTGGGTTGCTATCTAGTTCACCAGTTTTAATGAAGAAGCATTATTCCGAATGTTCATGAGGTTTTGCTGGAAAATGATCTATTTTTCATTTTTCATTTTACCTTGTAGGTTTTAGTCGGTTGCTTTTGATTAGTATTTACTGACTAATTAATACTAGGAGTGATATTTGTTCAGGGTAGAATTTCGTGAAAACGCTTTCGTTTGAATAATTCGAAATTTTCCGCTGTTGCGTAGTAATCTCTATGTTGAACTATTGCTATGGGGTGTTCTGCTAAAAAAAAACAAAAAGCGAAAAAACAAGGTCCGAGTTATTTAGCGTGCGCCATGCAGTCATCTTGCACTCGAATTCATAAAGTTCTCTGACGCATCGGGCCTATGTTATGATATGTAAAAGGTTGCCATTTCTTGAATCTTTGTCCTTGTTATCAGACATATCGAGTATTACCACAAGAAAGTGAAGTTATGAAAGGTTCAGCTGACTGAAACTAGAACTGGTCTCTCGAAGGGTGTCTTCTAGTGCTGCTCCGCTTCCTGCCTTTCAGCCAAGCAACCTTGTTCAAATGAAGTTTGGTCTTGCATCCCACGTGTACTGTGTGTTAGAAACACGCTGAAACTAGAACCCGTATGAATTCCTTCAAAACAGTTTCATTTTAAAGGCAGAGCTTTTCGGAACACGGACTTTATATTTCTACCTTGCATTTGGATTCCATAGAACAATGGGCAATACTTGTAATGCAGCGTGAGGTAATTGTAATAGAAGGTGTCCTTTAATTAAAGATTTTCGTGGAAGTTCAGCTTTCACTTTCTCAGACTTTCTCAGAACCGTGGAATCTCGCTGCATAGTACCGCTGCCTTACATCGTCAGCTAGAATTTGTTTACGGTACGTTCGACAATTGCTGCATACTGTAAGCCTGTAAGTCTGACTGTAAGATGGAAATGGACTGTATTGACTACCTGACCAGCAGCCCGGTACGCTCACCAGACTCGTCCAGTTTAGGTGTCTCCAATGCTGACCAACTGGGTGGACAGTATCACAATCCTCTTTATTGGCTTTTTACTGATAGGTTTAAGTGGGTACTGGTAATATCTGGTCAGTCGAGAGCTAGAAAAGGGTCAAGTATGTAGGTAGCAACGCTCCCAGAGAATTTTCTAGTGTTTTTTTTTTCAATTCAGTTATGCCACGAAAAGTCAGGCACGTTGAGAGGATTGCCGAAAGTGGATTTTCTTGAACAAGTTTTAAATCAGTTTTTTATAAGGTTCTCAGTCTGCTAAGGAACGGTAGTCAAGGACCTTCTCACTGAGTGGGTTGGAATAGCAGCGGTTCCATCCATTTCTTTCGTATCCTACCATTGCGGAGGTGAAAGGACTGCCACCGAATTTCTATAACCCATTGTCTTTTTCTATCACTAGAACTCCGGCTTTCCCTTGTTAATGAACGATTCTTCAATGATTTTCTAAAAATATCACGCTTTTACTTCTGGGCTTTCTAATGCAGTCTGCTGAGGAAGATTAATATATAAATAAGGGCCAAATCAAATTACGATGCGTATCGATTACCGCATCAACTTTCAGAACGCGTCGTATACGCTTCGCTAAGCTTCACGGTGTTCAGTCTCTTGAAGTTGCTGAAGCGCGTTGATGAAACGTCTGGGGAACTTTTTTCTCAGACTTCTTTTTTGCTGCCTCTTCAGGGTCTCTTTTGCTGCCTCTTCCCAAGTACCTCTTCTTGAGTACCCGAGCTTCAAATCCTTAGCGGTATTCAATGCCTGAGTGTATTTCGTTGTCAGCGCAGTTTACACGAAGTTCGACCATTTAGAATTGAATAAAATATGAAGTAGTGTAGCGGTGATGGTGCTGACCTGTCCATACAATCTGTAAATTGAGCGCGCGGTCGCGTAGTTGTTAGCGTTACGAACAGGGTTCTGGTAAGGAAATAGAGAATTTTTATGCTTTTGAGCTTCTGAAAATTTTTAGTCAACGAAATACGAACATCTTGATCGGGACTCTTAGTCGGATCGACCTAACACCTTCTAACTTCCGCGGTATAATTGTTTGATGTAAAAGCAATACTTCTGAGACGGAGTTCAAGAAAGGCGAGCTTAAGGAGATAACTAAACTATCATCTATTGGACGCGGACGTCAAATGAGGAAGTCCGGTGAAGATCGGCATTTGAATGAGTCTGGAACTTGTGCAATGACTAGCAAAAAATGTTAGTATTGTAGTCGTCTCTTTTATCTGAAGCTGATACAGGAAAGGAGAGTGTCATTATGGACGAGGGAGGGAAGGGATGGGGCTGATCATGGGTATCTGTTTAATTGTTGCGTATGTCTAACAAAAATGCCCTTGCATGCGGCCAGTAGCGAGTATGATGCAAGTCCATCAAGTTTACTAAAAAGTCGAACGGATATCGGCCGAAGGCGTAAAAGCGTACAAGGAATTGTAAATTCAGCTGAAGTCACAAACGACGAATTTTTTTTCCATTACATTGAGTTTACAGGCAATCAAAAGACTAGCCACTTGACAAATGATTAGTTAAAGCACTTAATTACGTGCTAAGAATCAATTTATTTGAATTGCAAGGAACTCATCAGAACGGATGTCTCGATAGCTTGCAGCAGTCGGAAACACAGTACATTAAGCAATTGTTCTCATTAGTGGCCGAATTGGTTCATGTGAATTATCTCAATTTTATTATCTTCAAGCCGTGTTGGCTATTCTGTAAAGAAGATCGGGAAAAACACCTTAAATAATCTGACTTTGTCCACATGGATGGTCAGCTATGGGCAATACTTTCAGGCTTGGACTGCACTGGTACTTATGCTTTCCAGGCTCTCTGCTAGGAACGGCTTCAACAAGTACATTCACCAAATAAGTTCATGAATAGGGAGCTGGTTTTGAAAATAGCACCTCAACTCATTGACAAATCCAAGAGATAGTCATAAAAACCTTCAATCTCCATCAGTCCACTTTGAGCTAGAATTTCTCTTGATTCGGTACATGCTTACATTCTGGTAGACGGTGAAACCTAGAAGGGCTTGATACTTACGAATTTTTTATTTGTTTTTTGTTGTGTTATTATTTTATTAGTGTCTCTATGTTTCTATTATTTCTGACGTTTTCTCATAAGACCTAACGAGGGCGCAACTAAGCGGATGGTCTGATTCTTTCTCAGCTTTTTTTAAATGATATGTTATTTTCTTTTTTAAGTTTCTTACACACTATTTTTTAAGATTCCACCTTATGTGAGAACGAACTCGGTCGATATCTCAAAGACCAAGGAAAAGCTGATAAACGCGAAGATACCGGACGAATGATGGTGGCTCTAGGCCGAGCGCTGATGTTTAGCAGTCATCAGAGAGCAGCAGTTCGTGTACCGTTAATTAGGTGGGTCTGCAACGAATAGACCTTTACGGTAACGTCTATTCAGCTGAGCGGTTTACAGGTTTTATCAAGAGCTGCAGGTGTTCACAGAAAGGGCAATTTTCGATTGTGCGCAAACGGTAGAGGCAGTCGAACGGGCGCGACTCGAGTATAGAGGAAGCCTGTTATGGATGAAGAAGACTAGTGAAGAGGTCAGTCTTTAGATTATGAGTTTATGATTTGATTTCAATTTTACACTTGGATTACTTGTTTTCATTTTCTAATGACTGCTTCGAGGAAATTGAATCCATGATGCTTCCGTAGTCTGTTTCTGTGATCATGTGTAATATACTGAGAGTAACATATAGAGTTTTCTTTACAAAAAATAGGAGGGAGAGTTAAGACTAATCTCAGAAGATAGAAGAGAACCGAAAAAAACTAAATTTTTCTTGGGAAAATGGACAAGGGAACCTAATTCAGAGCAGTCAATTTCAGCTGGATCCAGACACGGATCGCCAGCTGGAGAAGTTTCGTGAAGCGCAATCTGCAGTCCGAGTGAATAAGGAGAAGCTCGACAAGCTCAAAATTGATACTCTACAAAAAGTAAGTTGTGCAACTGAATTTACTTTTTTATCAGTCGAGATTATTACCAATCATCAATAACCTTTTGATTTTACCAATGTGTCGTTTCTTAATTTGTGAGTGTATGTTTTGATCCTCCATTTTTTATTATGATTTTAGGTCGATCTGTTATCCGCGTCTCGTTCGAATTTGCTTTCTCATCTGCTTGGAAAATATCTTGATATGCTGTGTGCCTTCTACGAAAGAACGTGTCGCGCTTACTCGGCCCTCTCAGCGAATTTATCCACTTTTCAACATTATGATTTCGAGATTTTGACGGTGATCTCTTCAATTATTCGACTGCAGATGATGGTTGAATTTTTCTAACAAGTTTGGAACTTCTACTTTACAGGATCTCATAGAGCCATCGAAAAAAGTGGCCAGGACTGTACGCCAGGCTAGCATGGAGAAAGAGGCTAGAGAGGCTGAGTATGCGCGAGTGGCAAATGAAGAGGAAGTGGAGGAGCCTGTTGGAAAGTGAGGATTCGCAGTTATCGAAATTATCGATTTCCTACCTTTCTGGGCTCTCAATCTATAATAAGACCAGTCTTCCTACCCAGGCGGGTGGAAGATAGTGGATTCCGCCATGTACCTGTCAGGGATTTTATTTCTGTTAAGACGTCACTGGGCACTGTTCATTCGACCGCATGAGTTCCGCTTTCCACCACTATGGTGGAAATAGTAATGGCTGTTCAGTCCATAGTGGCCTGGCGACGTAGACGTAGTTGAAATTTCTGCCCAAATGTTTCGCAGGACTTAGCGTGCGGTAGTCTGTGACTCCACGAAACCTATTTTCTCAGCCTTAACCCTCTTACAAGGTACAGTTACCTCGATGGGCACAGTTTCTGAAATCAAGAATTTCAGTCTACTCAACTTCGACGAAGAACCGGAAGGCTCGCTTAAAAAGTACCTATTCGGGCGAGAAAGTCCAGTTGAAGCTAAGGTAGAAGAAGCAGAGGAGGAGCGAACGGAAAGTCCTCTAGGACTACTTGACCTTGAAGCTGAACCCGTCGGAAGCGACCCACAACAACCACAACAACCTAATAAGGTTAGATAAATTCACCTTTCAAGCAAGGTGGCTGCTCTACTCATAAAAGCTTTCTCATCAATGCCATTTTGAACTATAAATTCTGATTTTCCAGTTCCATATTGGTCCTTTGCCACCTTTAATTGATACAGAAGCTGAGGTTCCATTGCTGACGCCTCCTCCTCGAGCACCGCCAACGCAGCCGCTCCTATCAGGTAGTCTTACCACCTTTTCACTGAACTTTTCCAATTTTCTTCATTTTCTTTTTTTATAATTACGGTATCCTCTTTGGTTGTCTTGGTACTTAATTACTTTATATTAGTCTATGTTCTAGTCAAAACCTTTTTTTACATTCTGAATGAGTTTTGAAATTGTTTTTTATGATTCAGATCGTTTCGTTTTCATGATCTAATATTTGTTTCAGTAGCTAGGCCAAGTTCACACGTCGATAATAATACGGACGAATCTGGCTATTCCGTACAGGACCTTTTCCCGCTGGTAGGACAAACGAAACCAGCTGCTCCTAGTCAAGGTGAGCCCATTAGTCATTTACTTAAGCATTGAACTGCAAGAATTCTTGTTGAAGCGGCCCCTTTGATAAGATCGCCACGGTAGGTTGCGGCAGAGGCATGGAACCCTATGTGACAATGTCCTCCTTACAATTAAAATACGTTCAAGGGACAGTCGGTTGCCAAGGCTAATTTTGCCACTTACCCATCAATTTCAGATAGCATTATCGATCTCCTTGGTGCTCCGTCTTCACAATTTCCAAACCCATTTGATGAAAGTAAAACAACGGTCAGCGTATCATATTGTAAACCCTTCATTTTTCTTTTATTTATATTTTGGAACTTTTTGTTTTCTTCTGGTTGAGTCGAATTCTACCACCGGGGTGATCTTCGAACAGCCTTTTTGAGCGGTATTTTACTAGGTTTACCGTCTGCTTCAGACACAACGTGTCAATTTCGCATTGTGAGGCCATAATATCGAATAGAAATTACATTTGCTTGTTCCTCAGGATCGAATTTGCTAGCCCAACCGAACCGTTTACGTATGACCACAGCTGTTGGGGAGAATGGGACCATTAATGTGACCCAATCCTTACGCTTCTTAATCACCGTGTGAGAGCTGAGCCTTATGTGCCCTAGACTTCTCGATTAGATTCATATGCCTCTCTTCATTTCGACTCTCTGATTCGAGCTAGTGCTTCTGGATTGAAGAGCTTTAAGTGAAAGTGTAAGGCGCTGAGAAGCCCTGCCTTTCAGTCGATTCTATTTTTGAATGCTTTCACACATCTTCTTTCGATGTTACTTTGGGGAATAAGAAATTCTGAAAGAACATTTCGAATTTCCATCACAAATCTTCCTCTCCCCCCCCCCCCCCCCCCCCCACTCAATCAAATACTTTCGTACTGTGGAAGGGAATCGATTGACTCTCGAAGAATCCAACTTTCAGTGATTTTCAATAATTTCAGGAGTGGGATCTTCTGCTCTCGCAGTGTGATATACAGCAAAGTAGTGATCTCATCTAAGTGATTATTAATTATATCACTGATTTCTATGCTTTATGGCTATTGACGACGTCACTAATAAAAATTCAGTTCCAAATTAATGTATTCTGTTCGGGTAGTACCTTCCAGCACTAGTTCTTTATCAGTTTTGCCTTTCTTGCTTTTCTTTTCCATTTTCTGGTTTCGAAATGAGATATTTCCTTTCCTTATTACGATATACTCGTTTTATTGTTGGTACACTTTGTGGCACTCGATATTTCTTCGAGAACAATTTGTGTCCTACAAGTACTACTTTACTGTAATCCCGCCCCTTTTTAAGGCGAGTACGATTTTTTTATTTCACCAGCATTTTTATTCCATATGAAAACATCGTTACCTATTTTTTAAACTAATGTTAATGTCTGATGCCACTAACTACAGAGTGACATGTGCGGTAAGCGTTCACTGACGCTGCTTCGAGAAGCCGCGCCGCATCAAGGGCTGCAAAGGTCCGTGTCTGGTCATGTTGTTCCAAATAATACTTTCTACAAGGTGTTAAGCATTTATTACAGCGATGAGCGATATATCCAAAAGGTTAAGGATAAGTAGTTATAAGGTTAGGGGTTCGTTTTCATTTAAAACCGCTCAACAATAGTAGTTTCGAGTCAATCCGTACTTCGTATTACTATTATGATGTGCAATGAATGATTAATGAAATAGAGGTTATAGGTAATAAATACAAGTGCTGCGTATTCTTCAACATAGAAAATGTCAAAATTGCAAATGGGCGGAGTTCCCCACACGGTTTGGGTACACCGGCCCACCTACGCACCTATATACAAGCGGTAGATATAAATAAAAGTCAAACAGTTTGAGAAAACTCTAGGTCAAATGCAAAAAGAGGCTCTGTGAACCCGTTGTGAGGAAGGTCAATGAAGAATTCGTCGCACCCATCGGCTAAAGCCACGTGGAAGAGCGAGCACAGCCACTCCTTCGATACAGCCAAACAGTAGTCCTGAAATGTGTCCCTTTACAAAGTGAAGAAATGCCAGATAAGGTATGCTCTCGGGTGAATCAATCGAAGGGAAACTTTTCTTAGGGTCTAATTGAACCGAACCACGGAAAGTGCTTTCTCTTTAAATAATTTGAGCTAATTGTACTATAATTACTATAACCCCTTTAAATAATTTGAGCTAATTGTACTACTCCTTCCAAAGCAAGCAATTTTTTCAATCAACATTTTCAGAGGGATGGCTAAATAATCTGTCGGTGACAAAGCTTGGCGTACGCCACATCTTTGGCTTCCACTGTGACGGTGAAAAAAATGTCTCACATATTTCTGGACCTTTGCGGTAACTCAGTAGAATAATTTGGTGTTCCACCTAGTGGGGTTTTGATGATTACGGAAGAGCGCCACCTTTGCATACTCAATAGGCTGCCATTTTTCTACAAAAAATAGCACCAGTACTCCTCTTCCAGAGGCGTCCTGTTCAGTCAATAAATGCAGGGCTAACCTCCAAGAGCATCGCTTAAATAATGACGTCCCATTGCCACCCGGCTAATGGCAACCAACACCGCCAGGAGTGCAGCCGCAATGCGATATTTCGGGAAGAAGGCAGCGCTGAAATCCGTCATTCATGAATTAATAATCTTCAGAATAGGAGCATGGCTAGAAGTGAATGATTTACAATGCCACATAATCTTACCTTAAAGTGGCAAGCATTGCCGCCCTGGAGCTATGCCCAGAGGGAAACGAATACTGATCAGCAATTGGTGCTTCGAATTTCTGAAATAAGAATTGTATGAATTTTGTATAGCATTCGCATAAAAAATTCTTAGTCATCACGCAGCATAAAAGCGGCGTTAAAATGTATAGGAATCAAATAAAAAGGTGGATCAACGCGAGTACTGAGAAGGATGTGTTATAAAAGGCGTCGTATTCGGGAGAGTAATCAAAAAATAGTGTGATGAATGTTGCTCATAAGAATCGCTGCAACACATTGTGAGGTCAAAAGATGCCAAATAAGACTTTTCCGTTCAGATTCCATGATGATTCAGAAAGTCCCCGGACGTAACCCACCAATAAACGTTTCTTGGAGCTGGGGCAATGCAAGAAATAGAAATTCCTGTTCGCAATAATAAAGTTTGTAGTTGTAAAAGTCTTTAGTGAGGATTACCTGATCATTGACGTTGTAGCCAGGACGTGGTCGTTGAATTGTTAGTTTCAGAATGCACGTGAAGATCAAATCCAGTAAAAGTCCTTAAAGAAGTTTTGTTGATGTTTAATCTTTTTTTCTTTATTTCTATTTTTCATCGGTGAAGACTCCCAAGAACGAATTCCCCCTATGTAAGCCGTACCCACTTTACCGATACCTGTGAAAGGACGATGACCGATCCGGATTGATAGGAATGCTTAATTGATCATGTATTCATTCTTTTAGTCATTCTGTGAGGACCGTATATACCCGAATGCTTCTAAAACTGCGCGAAAACCGGAAATGTGGCGTATCCAAAACGATTGCTCTTCGTCTAGCAGTTCTTTCAATTCTCTTCTTGCCCCTAAATGTATGAGTAGTTGTGTGGGCACAGGCTGACTGATTACTATGTATAAAGATCCCTTAATGACCCCCAAACAACCTCCCCTTCCATATTTCGGGAAATAAATATACGGTATACTCGGCAGTTGGGTACAGTAGGGGCTACTGTGGGGGGCTACTCTATATTTCTAAAACTATGCCAACTCGTATACTTTTCTAGCCATTAATCCCTGGTGCAATTACGATCCTTCCTTCCTCAAAATTACTATCCCCTCTCTCGCGAGTTTCGCCATACAAAGTTGTTCCAGCTTGTTGTACATAACGACTTCCGAAATCGGAAAATTGTACCTGTATTCAGCATAACCAGCTGGTGTTGTGTCTCCTGATTCCATCGTCCACTGACCGAACATACTAGGGCTAACGAGCTGCCAATTACCCATAGATAGCCATTTACCTGTAATGACAGCCGTTTATCATTTTGAGTTTTTGAAGCTGTATTATGCAGTAGTCCTTCATTCGGCCGGTACGCAGACGCGACGACTCTCGAATACTCCTTCCCTTTTTATTTTCAGCATTGTCTCATATAAAAAATGGACTGAAGAATGCGCCATGAATTCTTCGCATAAACTTGAAGAATAGTTGTAAAGCGGGTTGGACCCCTGGATGGGATAAAACTATGAGGGTAGCGGGATTTTCGCTTACACCATCCGATTACGAGAACAAATTTTTCAGTTACTGAAAGAACTCACACCGTATTCTATCCAAAGCAATAGATTCCTTTTCGAAGTAGGGGCAACGAGACGTTGACTAAGTGTCCTATCCAATTTGCTGAGGCATCTTATGATACCTAAAAGCGAAGGAACAGTATACACACCAGTTAAAAAGCTGCGATCAAGATTTTATAAAATGTTAGGGTAAGAAAGACCGATCCGAAATGGGTCGGACAGTCCTATACGTGGAAGTTTTTTGAACACCTAAAGAGGAAATCGATGTATGACTGAACTCTAACTGAACTCTTAGAGGATGCACGTTATGCCTGGCTTTCCTTTGTTTTTTTTACCAGTTTCGATCTTATTTCTCTCTCGTCTCCGTTGTCCGACTGTATAAGATCATCCTTGAAACCCAAGTTCTGCCAATGGCTAGAACAAATCACAGGAAAACAATATAGACGACGTCGCCCTGAAAACCAATATATACAAATCCGCCTCCATGGAGACAACGAACCCGACGTCTCTGTTCTCTCCTGTGCCAATAGGGAAAGTTCATTTACCAGTTTTACTGCCCTTTTTTGTTTTTTCCTCACACTTATTTTTCCTGATTATTGGGTAATGCTCTGGAGGTGAAACCATCAGGTTAGCTCTGGATCAATGAAAAACTAATAAAATACTATTATAAATAACTGTGCCAATGTCGCAGATGAGCTCCTCGGGTTATTCTCATATACTGTTGACCTCGTAATAATTGCTGGACTTCAGTTCTCTCACATTTGTTTTCTTTTCCAGGCAACTGGCTTCACCTATCCTCCTTTGATTCGGTAGTACTCTGAGGGTTTGAAACAAATCAATCAACAGAAGTTTCTGATGAGTGGTTCAAATTCATACAACAAAGTCACGTGCAGTCACGTGCATTCATATGCAGTATTTTCGAATTTAGTCATGCAATGCAAAAAAACTTTTTATGCTATACAGAATTAAGCTCTGAATATCTCAAAAGCTCACCTTCCATAATCCGAATGGATTGAAGTTGTAAATATTGAGTAAGTGCACTCCAGTATCGATCCAGATTCTAAAACTTAATGTGAAAGAACAACAGCCAAATCGTAATTCCTCAACGGATTGGGAACTACTCTGTTCACTTGCTCCAGTAAAAGATAAGTACCTTAGGGTGGTAATCAGGCACTTAAAGATACGGAGGAAACAAAGATTCAGCACAGGGAGCAATGCGATGAGAGTGCTTCTTTATAAGGTCGTATAGCCATTACCATCCCCTGCCTGGAAATTTTCCTTACCACAATAGGTTGACATTCCCTGCATGTCAAAGGATTAGAAACTCAGCACGGATTCAAACCCTCACAGTTCCGTTCCTGCTCACTATCGTTTCCATCTTCTACTAGGCAGGCTATGCATTTCAGCTACTTCACAACATTTTTTGTCATTATCATTAGTATAAGGCATACTGTAGACGAAATTACGGTAGGAAATCGAATCCATGCTCAATTTTCGTTCTTGGCTGCATTATTTATTCACTTACATCCAAGGGCCAGATTGCAGACAGCAAGAGTCCCGTGGTATAGAAAAAGGAAAAATACGGCACGAAATGGAAGAATTGAGCAGTGCAGAACAAATAGAGTCGAATTTTGGTCAGCGTGATAGTTGAACCAAAATTATTGAAAATCCTGCTATTTCACAACCAGCGGTGAGGTCATCTAATCAAAATAAATATAAGCCGTATAATGGAAGCAGCAAGACGTGGAATGGACAAATATTGACAAGAGAGAAAAGAGAAATCTGGCAGTGACCCGTCAGAGTTTCCTGGATACTGCACTCCCATTTTATCGTTCTACTCTTTTCTTCCGTTCATAGTATTCACAGTGTGTTATTCTTTCAAATTGGCCAAAGTCAGAGATCAGATCGCTTTCATAGTGAGCAGTACAATCGCGCAATATTCAGAATAAACGGTTCGCGACCGCGCGCTCCAATGCAACGAATCTTGTACAGGGCCCAATAAGTGGCCATTAAAGTGGCTGAACTAAGCTTGGTTTAGAGAAATGACGAAAATGTGAATTATTATTAGGGTCAGCTAATTCCTTCAAAGCCGAAGTGTGTAAAATTTTGCAGATATTTTAATTCAAGTGTTTTTTTTTTCAATGGGTATTCGAAATGTTGTTGTTTAGATGTTCCTCGTTAGTGTGATAAGTTAAGAAGAAAAAATCGAATAAGTTTATTTGAAAAGGAATACGGTAAGAGGAAATGCTGCGGAGAAATAAAAAACTGAGCAAAATGCTTCAAACACGAATGACTCACACAATGTCACTATAGCGGAAAACACTGATAACCAGACTGGCTGTTCTCCGTTGGTTGTTCAGTGTATATTGAATGACTTCAGGGTACTACTCAATCAGATTTTAACTAAAACACAATTTATTAAAATGTAAGGCCGTTTATTTCCAAAAACGCCGTCAGCGTGTTGTTAAGTGCGTAGTGTACGTGAATACAGACAAAGTGTTGGCAGTTGTCGTCAATTAAATCAAATTGATTTCTCTACCTTCTTTTTCTTTTCTCCATGCAGTGAGGTGGAACCTATTCTCGTAGATAGTCTTTTTTGTCAAGTAGTTTGGAAACTGTCCAAAGAGTTTCGTTTTGGCATGAATTTCTTTGTTTTGTGAGGCGTTGTCGGCAGCTATTGCCATTTACATGATTTTTAATACTCGGTGCCATTTGAGAAGTGACGAACTTTCAGGAAAGTTTTGCTTTTGCTCGATGCTTATTTTAAGAATAATAATGAATAGAGCAGGAATCAATGGGTAGGGCGAGATTGTAGTGGTTTTCTGAAAATGATAAATTATCGCTCTGTATCCATAGTTCATAGATCGTGATTGTATCAGCATTGTTTGTATGAATATGGAAGCGAGCACGTCGACGTCCATTGTGTCCTAGCGGCTAATCGATTATTGACCAAATTCAATACACGGCGTTTCTGCTTTGTTATCTCACCTGCACTGCCCTGAGAGTGCTGGCTTCCATTGAGGCCTTTCAGAGTGACGTTTTGCATGTTTTCGATCAAGCGTTACTTTTCTTGATTACTTAATTCTCGGACTTTGATGTGGACTATTGATAATGTTGTTTTAAACGTACAGGTTTCATCAGAAGTAGGAGGCTTTCTCGTCAAAGTTCAGAAGGGTTTTGTCCCATTTTCGAGGGCATAAACTAGGTTTTCCTTTTACAAACGTCTATGTGATTTTCTGAAACGTCAAGCTCCTACTTCCCACGCACTGCAAAATGCTTTTAGCTGGTGTGCTTGAAAGCATGGAAAGCTTTCATGTAGCAGCCTCATATGAGTCAGTGCGGTACTTCCGCGGTCAAATTTCCTGGGAATCTGTTATAAGCAGTGTATTCCATAGGGAATAGACTATTAATTCGTTCAGCAACCTGTAAAATGTTTCAAGAAGTTTCTGGGACAAAGACCCAGGCTGGTGTTCAGATTGTAAAGTGTAATGGAGCAGTATATAGTCATGGAATGTGATGGGCTTGAATGTCATATAAACAGATAGTTTATGATTTTTTAATCCGTTGTGAAGTGAACTAACAATCTACTCGTTATAAATTGATTTGAGTAAAACACATTTGAGTAAAAAAAGTTGTCATGACGTCAGTCATCGTACCAGTTATCTATCACACAAAAGTATTTCTATCAGAGTTACCGCTGCTCATAGAATGAGGCTTTGCTTTGACCTCACGTACTTCCTTGAGTTTTATCTGGCCAACACATGCATGTAGCTAGCTTCCGAATCGCTCTTTTGTTATCTGTTGCGAATTCCTTAATGAAGCTTTTCACCTGATGTAGAAGTAGATCATCCTTGAATAAGATGAAGGAATTGACTGAGCCCCACTTCTTTTCAGGGTTGGTTTTCAATAGTACTATAATACTGCCCATTGGGGTCAGCGCTGCTAATCGATTTCGGTTCTTTGTAAGAGATTCTTATCAGAAGAACAGCGTTCTATCTAGACCATCTACTAGGCTGCGTAGCAATTATCTTAGGTACGCAGGGCAATAAGAGCACTGAACATTTTTTCCTGATTATTTTGCCTTACTTCTATCGTTGATTTTTTATTTACAATGTTAACATGGTTGTGAGATGTAAAGTGGCTCCTTCCCTGTTTTCAAGTCTGTCCCCTTTTATTTATTATTTCCTATGGTGAACCTGTCTCCATGTCGAGTTCAATTCGAAAGTGTTCCAGCTCAAAACATAATCTTTTTAGAGCACTTGTGGTAATCAGGATGATTCCACGGTCATTGTTAGTCTTTGCGTTGCTCCACTTGGGTTTAGGAAATGTTGTCCAACTAGATTCGTCCAATTTTGACGCCATCACACGTGAGTTTCTTTGTTTACAACATATTTTTTGTTAATACCCACTTAAACTTATCCTTCAGAGTCAAACGAGGTTGTGTTTGTCAACTTCTATGCTGAGTGGTGTCGCTTTTCACAAATGTTGAAGCCGATTTTCGATCAAGCAAGTCAAAAGTTCCAAGTATGTTCAGTGTACACACGGATGTTTGTTGACTATTCCCTTACTCTGCTTAGCATCACTATTGCTGTCTAGTACAAAGCTATCATTCTCAACTGATTTTTTTCAGAACTTACCGCAAGGAAAAGTTGTTTGGGCTGCGGTTGATGCAGATGCACAAGGTACTCCTTTTTTCACTCTAATCTCGATTTCTTCATTTCACGATTGAACGTTGATCGATGTTTTTCATTGAATTACTTCGAGCTAAAGTCGCTTCAATGAATCGAACAAATAATGAGAAAGAAATAAGTGCGGTTTTGTGAATTTTTCATAGAACACATNTTGTTTTTAGCCGCCCTTGCAACGCGGTTTCAAGTGAGCAAGTATCCAACTCTGAAACTATTCCGCAATGGAGAAATAGTGCGAAAGGAGTACAGGTGCTCATTGCTGATTTCTTTCATATTTTACTTTTTGGAACTCGCCTTTCCTACGAATCGAGGGAAGATGGGCCTCGCAGAACAGTTGTATCTAATGATTTACTTATCTTTACCTGATTTTTCTTCAGTAACACAGGCAAAAAGGATCTGATTTTAATTCTTTCTCTCAAAGGTTCCGGGTGGTTTTTTGCACTGAACTAGTCGATAACTCATTTCTTTTTCTTTTTTTCACTCTGAGTTCTTTAGTTTGTGCTCCCATTTTTTTATATCATACGCTGATAAGAACGAGTTTACCCTGTTTTGGACAGTTTTAGGATTTCTCTGTGATTAGCGATCATTTGAATTACCTGGGCTGCGAAGGAATTACATCCAAATGAAAATCTGTGCGATTTCCATGCAGAAGTCACCCATATTCATCACTGATACGCTTTGTTTTGATGTTTTTATTTTGGTGGTATGGAAGAAATCATAATTTTCAGAAGTCAACGTTCCGTTGAGGCTCTTTCGCAATTTATTCAAAAGCAACTGGACTCCGGTCTTCAAGAAATCTCTAGTTCGGACGATCTGCAGAGGAAAATGGACGTGAGTACATCTCAGATTTTCTTTAAATCACTCGCTTACCTTATTAATTACCCTCATTAACCAAAATTTTGTGTTCATTTTTTTCAGACAGGGAAGCGAAATGTGGTCGCATATTTCCCGCAGCTCAGTGGACCTGAGTACGAGTCTCTCAAAAAGGTAAGGCCAAACTAGTTTGTCTGGTGTTGTTTAATGTTTTGAACACATTTGTCGTAGTAACACATTGTTCAATTTTGAAGGTTGCGTCTATTCTACGAGAAGAATGCACTTTCTACGTTGGAGGTGGCCCAGCTTTTGCTGATAAAACGCCCCAGGGTCCAAGACTATATTTTAAGGGAAGCAATGTAAGTCGTACTTTCTTATTCTATGGTGCACGGAATTACGAATTATTCTTACAGTCACAACAAGAACTGCAGTTTAATTTCGATATGAAAAACTACGATTTGCTGAAGTAGGTTCATTTTTTGATCAATTCATTTTTACAACTTTTGTGTTCGAATTATAGAATTATTAGCATTTTTATGGCTGTTTTTGGTGTCACGATCGGCATGCTTGGATTTCTGATTTGGCCATGCTTATAGAATGCTATTTTGGGGCCACAAATGGGACGTAGAAATTTGAGGTGTGTGGGTTGAGGAAATACCAGATAAGAAAGGGAGCGGTGTGAAGTTTTCGCGCTGAGTCCATGTAAGTAGGCGCGGAACGTGCTGTTTGAGCCTCCAGGGTTTTTCCTTCATCACTATGTATGGATGTGGTATGTTAGGACTATTGTGATTCAGCAATGTATCGTGCTATCTCAATCTGCTACAGTACGCCATGGCTTAATATCTGCACAAAAACAAAAGCACAAATACGTGGACGTTATATTTGCATTTCGTTCGCCGCCTGAAATCAGCCGCAGAAATCAAGGAACTCTTATTCCTTTATTTCTCTTTTTCGGTTGGATTCTTTCATTTTCTTTCCGTGTCCTCTGGGAAACTTCCCTTCCACCACTCCATTTNTTTCGATCTACTTCCAAATATGCGGCCGAGTCTTTGTCATATTTCCCAGTCCTATTTCGACCACATGATTCTCCCTTCGTTTCTCGCGATTTCATTTTCCATTCTTTTAACGTTCTCTTTGTTCATGATTCCGAGTAACGGCAGTTAATCTGATTGGGCGATTATAGACATCTTAATGCGCGTAGGATAAGCAGCTAGTGAAGTTGGGAAAGAATCCCTCATCGTAGAATGCTTAATCTGTAGCTGAAGTAGTGCAGGTGGCTGAAGCTTATCCTTCTAGCCGGAACTGTGACGGACTAAGAGACTACGTAGAAATGTAAGGATTGTGTCGAACATAACGACGAAATCCTTATAAATGAATTCCCTGATCGTTGTCGATCGCTCTTATGACCTAATAAAAACGTCACATTTATGTATTTATTTTCCATACTACTTCTGACGCCTTACCATTTAAGGATTATTCATATTAGATTCCTTGCGATATGTGCCAATCTTTGAGAGTTTTTTGAAATGCACTATACGACTGGATCAGATAACTCAATTTTCATTTTGTTTATTCCATGAGCACATTTCTGCAACCCCTGTCTTCATCCTATCTTCGCTGCATCGTGGCTGTCATGTTCTAAACTCTGCTTTGTTTGATAGCGATCATCGACTACGGAAAAACATCACAGAAATGAGATACTAAGATAGCTTCGCTCTAGGGTACCTTTCTTAAAGTTGCAAAATTGCCTTCTTGGAAGGGTTCCTAGTCGACCCTTTACTGAACGTACACATACAACTTATGTCATATGTAAATAGTCCTTGAGACTGTTGTGATGTGGTGCCTGTGGTACGATGTAGAGTTATTTTGATACTCTGAACAAAGTTACTCTTTTGAAGCTTCAGTTTCATCTATATTTTGTTCTCGCTCTACTATAGGTTGCCCGCTCGCTGAAAGTAGCGGCCGATCGATTATTTCCTTTCTCATCAGTATGGCTTTTTGGAATGCGGTTCTACCATCTGACCCACGACGTCATATCGAGCAAAAATAGTCCAAGAGTAACGCTATAGTATCGGTTCATTGATAAATGCCCCTTCTTCATAGGATGTTGCGCGCTTCAATCTCATCCAATCTGACATTCATCAGCTTTAGTTGTACACAGTGCTAGGTCCCCCGTCCCTTTAATAGAACTTTAGTTGGTGTGCCTAAACACCGTGCATCGCATCTTCAGCGGTTACCTGTCTTCGTTAACCTTTAAAGTCATCGTTTTTTCGCGCTCAGGTTAGTTCGCAGTGCACGCGAAGAAACGTCGGAGCCCGTAAACACCTTGAGGATATTATTGTGTCTCCTATGAACAAATCATGTGTGCACTTCTCGTGCGTGACTTTTCTTACGTTTATTTCTTTTTTAGGCAATGGCTGACAGAGCATTGTATCCCTCTTGTGCGAGAAATAACTTTCGAAAATGCTGAAGAGTTGACAGAGGTATATAACGAGATGTGAATCTGATGCATATAATGGCATTCGTTGTAATTTAGGAAGGAATTCCTTTCCTCATTTTGTTCCGCCATCCTAATGATAAAGAAAGCGAAAAAGTGTTCACTGAGGCAGTTATGCGAGAAATTCCTGATCAAAAAGGTTTGCAGTTCGTTGAGTTCATTTTTAATTAAAGTCCTTTCCATAGATTCGTTAGAGTTTACTTTTGAATAGTGCAAAAATGCTAAAGTTTTTGTTGAATTGAAATCTTAATCTTCAGTAGTTGAGTTTTTGAAGTTCACTAGGGTGCTTGTCTTGTCGTTGTTTTTCAGAGTCTTTTCTTTTGGTTCAATTTACCATTCTTTGCTTGTTTTTTTCTTTTGTCACAAATTCCGCTACCAGAAACTTTTCTATATTCTTGAATGATCATTTTTCAGCCGCGATAAATTGCCTTGTCGCGGATGGTGTCAAATTTGCGCATCCACTTCATCACTTGGGAAAAAGGGAGAGTGATTTACCTTTGATTGCGATCGACTCATTCCGTCATATGTACTTATTTCCGAATACGAACGATATGACGTAAGCTATAGCTTTGACTTTTTTCTCTTTTATCAGTGGAAGTGATTCTACAATGATTCTTTCAGCATGCCTGGAAAATTGCGGCAGTTCGTTCTTGATCTTCACAGTGGCAAATTGCATCGAGAATTCCATAATGGTCCCGATCCAGTTGCTCAGGTCACTCATCAAGTGGATGAAATAGTTAGATATCATAAATATCGTGTTATGCGCCCTTCCTGCCAGTTTTTTTGCATGAGTGCAACAAGTTCGCTTTGATTGCTCACCGTTGGTCTCATCTGCACTTGTAGTGCAATGCAGTATTTTTCGTAACACTCCGAACACTCGTCCAGATTCTTTCGTTTGTTGTCGGTCACGTCAGGATCAAGGCCACGTTTGCCTTTCCTTGCCCAACGTGGGGTTATCGTTACTCTCCTTGAGAATGATCTTGTGGGTATCTATTGAATGGGGTTTTCAATTGTAAATTATTCAGTACTCTGGAGAGCGTGACATTCTTCATATGCTTTCATCCTTCTGAAGTGCAACTAAAAAGGATTTGCAAAGCCAGGGTGAAGGTCTTCCAATTTAGAGTCCTCTTATCGCTATTTTTGCTAAGAATCTTTCTCGTCACGAATGACCCTTGTTTGTGTTCACTGTTCACTATGTAACCCAGTCCCGTTCTTAATACGCTCTAGACTGGTCTTAATCTTANTGATTCACATGTCATCTTGGGGACATTCCATCTCCTAAGGAATTCTTGCGCATAAATTGGCTCCTTTTTTGAAGATTACTTTTTGACGGGTTCGCAACGATCGAATATGGGCGAGAAATTTTAGAGTTTTAAGTATTCGCTTTAATCTTAGCCAAAAGCTACTTTATGCTATTTGCACTTGCACAGCTTTTTTGTGGGCTAACTTTTTTTACAGTACTAATTGCAAGTCTATTAGTTTCTGTGCGAGCTTCACAGTCTCCCGCTGATGGAGCCCTATTCAGGTAGGGAGTACATTGAAGGGTGCTCCATAGTTGTAGGGTAAGCCGAGTCCATTCTCTCCAGAGATTTTGCATTTGTGCCATCCATACTGATAAATTGAGTAAGTGTCCCTCCAACATGATTATTGATTTCTGGACAGCGCCGTGGCTACGTGGTTTCCTGCTTTTTCTAGGCCTGGTGGGGTGCTGTTTGCGCAAGTGAGGAATGGATTTGTGCATGATGTCTAAAATGTGTCATATATGTTCTAACAAAAGAGTTAATGTGATCTTTGTCTTGTGTACTTGTGGCTTGTATAACTCCTTTCGAATGTTTCAGCAGACGCAACCACCACCATCTGTGTTCGAGAAGCTCAAGCCATCGCATACAAGATATACCCTTCTTGACAAAGATGAGCTGTAGCCAAGAATTGAGTAATTTTTATGAGAATTATACTTTCATTTTTTTCCGATTCTACTCAATTTGTATGTATTCGTGTCCATATTACAACTGCATTCTTCGTGACTCAAAATTTGCCTCAGTTTGTAGTTCCACCATAGAGCACTAGTTAAATAGCACCATGGTTCTGGGTTCTAGCAGGGCTCGTGCTGCAATTGCTTTTAACCAAGTACTAGTCACTATCTGATGCAGATCAGGTTTTTTGTTTTATAGAGTGGTACTATGTATGAATAGCCTTCCTACAAAAATAACAAGTATTTCTACAGCGAATTACTCCATGATTATAAATGTTATTGTGGGTAATATTATTGGCTTGTGGGTTTTTATTGGTGATTTTTCCTGATAAATTTGCACCAATTGTCTCTCCCCGTTTGCTTTATATCGCATTGTTTTTCTTCAGTTTGTATGGAAAGACTGTTGTATTCATTGCCAATTTCGTGGCTGTGATGCATCGTGTTTTCGTTGTTGTTTTGGTGGATATTTAAGTGGATAATTAAGTGATTGTTTGGTAGTTTGAATGAATGTCTATTTGTATTTCGATACGCTTTGGTTTTTCCATTACTATCGACTCGGTTACAATTTACATAATAATGTGTGTAATCTTATGAGGGAAGCAAGTTGACTAAAATTAAGCCTTGGAATTAGTTAATTGGATTGAAAAAACGAGGTTGAATTAAGGAGTGTAGCTCACATTATGGAATACGGCTGGTAAAAAACAGCCGCATGGCGACCGCACGCAATTGGTATCATTAGTTTTTCAACATCACTGATTAATTGGCTAGTTAGCAGCAGGGTATTTCTTGTTCCCAAGAAGGAATTTAGTGCTGTCGCAGTGCTTAGCAACGGGCGGGATTCACAATTGATCTAGCACATTCGTGAAAACCTTTTTTATATGTTTATCTGTTTTCTGCAAAACCCATTCCTTGGAGGCGCGGCATGGTCATGCGAACGGTTTGGGATAACTGGTATAACGATTGTATGATATGCTGTCAACAATCGTAAACAATGTGTACGAAGAGATAGAAGCAGGCGGTCCTTCGCGCAATCATCCACTGTGAAGAAAATTGGGGTCAGACAACGAAAGCTCGCTCAATGCTGTTACTCCAGCGTTCTTTTGTACAGTAACTGCCTTGCCCCTACTTTCACTCTCAGCACTATCGGTTTACGGCTTTGTAGCTGTTCGTGAGCTTTCGAAGTTTCTTACACTGATTCATTCTTTATAATTCAGTTTGACATGAACAGTTAAGGTCAGAAGTTCTCTGGCTTTAGAGGTGTTTGAAAGAATTGTTGTTTGCAGGTCCAGGCCTAAAGGATGTCGGCTGCGTCGTCGCGATCGGCGGCGTATCGGCTAGCAAGACATCAGACACAAAGTGTTTCCCCATTAATTCGACGTTCATATTGTGCAGCGACGTCGATTGCTCAGCTTCGGAAGCCGACTATTCCTGCTTTTGTGACGGAGAAGTTGAAGGATATGCAGGCAAGTTCTTCCAACAATAAAACCATTTTCGTAATTTGAATATGTTAATTTACTGACTGCCACCAAAAGACGAATTTAATACCAATCTACAAAAGGTCTTCCTTAAGAAGACTGCTGTTGAGGAGTGCCGGCCATTCTTAAAACTATTTAAGCCTTTACTTTCTTTGCCGAACATCATTAAAATTTCTTCACTCGATAAAGCCCCGAAAATTCTCTGAAAGTTATTTAGGAATTTCAATATTTACCAGTAGGCGTATTTTCATATTATGTTGTTTCTATTCATGCAAACCGGAAAATGAATATTTCCCAACTATAGTCGTCACTTTCAGATTGAAATAGCTAATCAGTTCATTTCTGATGCTCCCCACCAACCTGCCAGTTTCACACCAGCGAATACTATTCCAACTAGCAGTAGCGACTTTACGAATAATTTGGAGAAAATGGCCAAATATTATTTTGAACAGGTTGGTCTTCATTCATTATTGTTTTGCTATTAAATCTCTAGAAGTTTGCAAAAATCTTGATTCGCAATTTCGTATCTTCTAAAGATTGAGGCGAGTTCTACATTCTTCAAAACATGAGAGTAACGACAATACTATCTTTTTCACTCNTGATGCTCCCCACCAACATGCCAGTTTCACACCAGCGAATACTATTCCAACTAGCAGTAGCGACTTTACGAATAATTTGGAGAAGATGGCCAAATATTATTTTGAACAGGTTTGTCTTCATTCATTATTGTTTCGCTATTAAATCTCTAGAAGATTGCAAAAAATCTTGATTCGCAATTTCGTATCTTCTAAAGATTGAGGCGAGTTCTACATTCTTCAAAACATGAGAGTAATGACAAAACTATCTGTTAGTCACTCCGATATGTGGGCGGTTCGATTAGAAAGTGGAAGTGGCTACTTTGTGCAAATCAATTATACCTCTTTATTTATTTGTCCTAAAGCTTCCCCATGGTATTTGAATAGCTTTGCAATATTCATGCTCTTACTAAGTGAATAAAGCAAAACAAATAGAGGATTGCTATCTCACCATTTTCCATCAGTGGGTAACGCAGCTATTTCAATTTCGCCATAGATATCCTTTGAATAGCCATGCTCCATTAAGGGCGGCAAAATGTTCCGACCAACGGTTGCTCTTCTGATGGCAAACGTGTGTAATGCTGCAGCTCCGAAGTCGGTTAGGTATGACAACCCAGAGGACATCGCATTTTTTCTTGAAAGCACTCATTGGGGAAGAATTATTCTAGATTAGAATGCGGTAATGAAGAAGTCTCCGTCAATCAGTACAAAATCGGTATGATCAGTGAAATGATACATACGGCAAGTTTGGTGCACGATGATGTGATCGACGGCTCAGATACACGACGTGGTAATGCCTCTGTCAATGCGATTTGGGGGAATAAGATGGTAAGTAATGAAGTCCATCCTATGCCTTTTTGTTTGGTTTTCCTACAATTTGTCTTTTTCCCAGAGGAAAATATTATGATAGAGCAACATCCAACTTATCAATCTTTTATTGGACATTATGGTTGGATCGTTTTATGTCAGCATTCCAGGCAGTTCTGGTTGGCGACTTCATTCTGGCTCGTGCCACTCAAATTCTATGCTCCATTAATCGGCCGAATGTTATAGCGGTTATGGCATCAATCATCGAAGATCTCGTCATGGTGAGTAATTAGGTCCGAAAGCATTTGGCCTAGACACACTTAACTAAAGGCTTCTATCTTTCTGTTTATTCTCAATAGTTATTTTTACGATCAAGCTGTCGTGGTAAGAAGGTGTGTACGTCTATAAGCATCTGATTGTGAGTTTAACGATGAACTGCTTGACTCTAAATACCTAGCGCTTCATGTGAACGCTTAGAAGAATTTTGACATCCCAATGATTAGTGCAGCTCAGGCTTCAGGCTTCACTGTTCTCCTTGTTTCAACTTCACGATTGTTGACTGGTATTGCATGCTGGATAATTGTAGCGTTAAGGTTGCGACCGTTACTTGGCAAGGCATCTATGCAGACAGCATCATGTTTTCATTATGTTCTTCATTTTGAGAAATGTTTTGTTTTCAGGGCGAATTCATGCAAATGACCGAAAAAACAACGGCCAGTGAGGACAGAATGCAGCAATACCTGCAAAAGACGTTTAAGAAGACCGCCAGCCTTTTTGCCAATAGCTGCAAAAGTGTAGCATTACTTGCAGGTCAGATTCCTTCTTGGATTGCTGGTTTTGATTCTTTGGGTACTGTGATAACCGAATTGTTTTATCGCCACTAGTTTAATAGTGAAACGTGTTCTTAATACTAGTGAAGCGTATTATTTTTTAGAAGGCACTGCCGAATTACAATGGCGAGCATCCGAGTACGGACGACACCTTGGAATAGCTTTCCAGCTAGTCGATGATCTTCTGGACTTCATAGCATCCGCAGATATGATTGGAAAACCTGTGGCTGCGGATTTGAAGCTGGGTAAGTCTTCTTTATTCATCATTACGAATAATTTTAATAATGTCAAGTTACGCACTATTGTTTAAGTTGGTTTAAATAAAAGAAATGGTTTTTCATTGATACTTTACTTTTTAAGTTCTTCTGAAACATTTTAGGCCTTGCGACTGGTCCTGTGATACTGGCTGCTCAGCAATATCCGGAACTAAACGTTCTCATGGCAAGAAAATTTGCTGAGCGAGGAGATGTGGATAGAGCAAGGGACATTGTGTTGAATTCAAATGGTATTGAACGAACGCGGAATTTGGCACGACAGCATTCACAAGACGCTGCGCGAATAGTCAGTTTCTTTCCAGTGGTTTTTGAATCTTCCTCATTGAAAGTCATGGCAGTTCCGCAGAGGTTTGGGTCATCCGTTAGGACCAGTTTGTCTTGTTGTCTTGAGGGAAGAGCTTATATTTGAGGCTTGTAGTTTTCGAAAATTTGTCGGTTTTTTCTTCATTAATTGATAGAGCTATGAGGCTCGTTTTTAAATGTGAGAGCTAATTGCGTTGGGAGAAGGTGCCAGATACACGTTTACTAGGTCGAAAGTTGGCTAGGGGGGGGGGGGCATACAGGGGGCCATGGGTCAAAGGGGGCAATAGGTCTTCGTTTACCGTTTACCACTGCATCAGTAATCAGTATTTGAAGCTGGTCGTTTCAGTACTAAGTAGTCGTTTCAGTACTAAATCTCGTCCAAAGGTTTTTTCAATATTGAACGTCTATAGGATCGATGAATTACTTTTTAGGCTTCCGCTTTTCCAAACGCGGAAGGATCTGCTGATGTGTTGGTAGATTTCGCTCTATCGCAGATAGATAGGCAATCGTAGCTCTGAGCTGTACTGTGCTCACATAGCTGGCTAATCTTTCTTCCTTTTACTCCTTCCATCAGGGTTTTAGCTGTGTAGGAATAGTGTTGTTGTGAAAGAGTAGCATATATTTATTCACTTGGTGGTTGGTTGGTTGTCTACCTATTTAGTTAGCTGCCTTAAACGTCATTCTTTCATTATTTGTGTTCTCCAACGAAATGATGAAATTTGACTAGAGTTCCTTATATTTTCTTTTGTATTTGTGATGGTTCTCAGTATTCCGTCCTGGAACTGCCACTAGATGAGCGATAACCAAAGATTCAAGTGCTTAATCGCTCAACTTTCATAATGGGTTGAGTTCAGATCTGAACTCGTATATAGTAAGTACAATGACGATAGTATAGTTGCAGTTGTAAAAGAAAGAATTATTTACTATGTACAGGAAATAGATTATCTTTACTGATATTTGTTGTTGGTGAATCTCCTTCTTGTTCTGATATTGTTGATGTTACTTAAAGAGGATATTCTGTTAAGATAATGTATAGTTGAAGAGAAACGAGCACGTAGTACGAATTTCGTTATCGTCGGATTGTATCGCCTATTATCGTCAACACGACGTTTGTTGTTAGTGAATATTATTTTTTCGAATACTTGATTGTCTTTTCGCATCCACAGCTCTAGCTGTTTACTATTTGATTCGATTGTTTATGAGAGCAAGGTTTTGACTGAGTGTTTCATTGTAAGGGATAAATCAAGATTGAGAAGTACTATGCATTGAAATGTGATTATATGATTGAGCATGGTATGGGTAGAAACCCATGACGGTTACCGTATGTGAAATCGGACTTTACGGGTGACATAAGGGCCAGGAGTGTAGGCTGTTCTGTGGCAGCAATGGCTTCTGGTAATGGGGCGATTTATCTAACCCTGATTCAATTCCTAGTTATCTTAAGTTAGTTGTATCTGAAAATGTAGTCGATTCTCGCTTCCCCGATGCCGATTCAGAAAGCCAGGAGTAGGTAAGGTGGAAAGTGAAGCACCATCACTGTGGCGAGTATGGCGCGACGAGTAAACCATCCTTTACCCACCTTCTACCACTACACACAGGTTCATACCCGGGTGGCCTTTAATGCTCTCTAGCAAGGTGACGGGCTTGGAGCACATATAAGTTCCGCTCGGCCAAATTAGTCATTTGTTCGCTCGAGCAACCACAAAGTAGAGCCCATGAAAGCAATTCGTGTTGCAATGGATTTGAAAGTGGTGTTCGTTATTTTGGCCCAAAAAAGGGAAGTTCAGCCTAAAACAGGTCTCATTCGGAAATAGGATACCGGCTGTACCATATATTAACCACTTTTCTGATTCTTTCGGATCACGTACCGACAAAATTGCAGCAGTTAATTTAGAACTATCTTTTTCAGATAACAGAGTAATTATGTCGAAAATCTTTTGCTCATCATCATGGCTGTCTTCTCACAACTAGTCTTGTGTTTGAGAATGAAGTTCGGGAGCTGGGCGTGGATGACATGTCCGAGGATTCTACCAAAGCATGGTAAAATACTTGGTTTAATGATCCAGAAGTTACGATATCCGTGGAATCATTGGATGCTTGAAGGCGATGACCTGCTCTGCACTCTGCAATTCTGAAAGTGTTCTCCTGTAACACCGATGCTCACCGCAACGGGTTACGGCGCTAGAATTATGGAACCAAGCGGCTGCTGGAGGTGAGTTGTTAGACGTTTTGTTTCTAAGGGATTGCACGATAGAATTTCAATCATTGAGCCTAAAGTTCTTCCTGCTTTATGACGTGACATACCTCTTGAAGGACCTCAAGCGCGATCTTTTGGTAGGCAAAAGTAGAACTTCAAAAATACCTTCAAAGACAAAGGACTTTCAAAATGACGAAGATTAGGAGAGATTTCTGGAAGTAGGGTAACCGAAGCGCGGCATAAGATTTCATAACAAAGGATCAGCTTAAAAGTTCCTTGTGTTTGGATTAACAATGCTGATCAACCTGATTTTTTTGTCGATTGTACAACAGGGTTTACCCGTATCTTGTCTTTGAGCTGAGTTTTCTTTACTAGCCATAAGTCAGTTCTAAAGTTAGTCCATCATGTGGGAATATTCTCGCTCAGCCTTTCCGAAGTCGACCGCTTTTGGTACAGTCGTCGTAGCGGTTCTTCTTGAGATTCCTCGAAGAGCTGCCGGAGTTTCCATTCAGGGCAATTGTCAGTTCGTCGGGCCTTCAGGGTATTGCCATGGAGTATCAGCTAAGCAGCAAGGTAAGATAAAACGAATGACTTGTTTTGGCAGACGACATACTCTGTAGCATAGTTGGGTTGTACATTTTTTATCAAGGTCAGGATCACAGCATTGCATGAAATTTGTTGTCCATATATCCAAACTGTAAGAGATGACATCCATGACCCACACGTGATTAGTCGTGAGCGGCTAGCTTCTGATAGATTCCTGGACATGTACAGTATTTTACTGAAAGTAGACCCTCCTGGCTTTCTATTTCACGATAGTCTTCCGGTATTTCGAGTTTGTTCTACGATGGTACCCTCCCCTACAGTTCTGAAGGCTTGTGCTCGAAATTTTCGTGAACATTTCAAGATTTGACCCTGAACTTTGCAATGGTGTATGATAAATTTTGATTGAGAAGCCAGGGAAAAATGCGGTTCGGTTGGCTAGCTCAGCTAAATGCGCTGCTGTTTCTCTCGTCATTGTTTGTTCCCATCGGTTCTTTCTTATCCTGGTGCGGTATTCTTGAAGGATGCCCGTAATGCCTAGTTATCAAAGGTATTCTAAATCACTTATCGACAATATCTCGGTGAGCCTTTTTGGAGTTCACCCTAACCAGTTACAGCCTGCCGCCTTTACAGTTAGCACCAATCAAGACTTACGTGTTCCCTTAGGTAACTCTAATGGCTTCTATGAGCCTTTTGTCGTGACTCTGTTGCTAAGGACACCGACAAATGGGTGTAGTCAAGCAGACCAAATGGCGATTACTTGTTGTCCCTGTCAATTAGATTTATTTACACTTTACTTTTCTTTTTCTGTACCTAATCGGTATTCGCAAACATTTCTTGTTCACATCTGCTCTTGTCTATCCTCATCTCGTGCCAGATTTTTCCTTCATTTGTTCTTATCAAGTAGGTCACCTAGCCTTGGGTAGTCTGTCTACATCAAACATACCCGGGAAAACAGTAAGGAGAACGGATCTGATTTAGCCTGGGCCCTGTTACATAGTTATTCCTGTCGGATGGTAGAACGTCTCTCAGGCGGTGGTTCCGATCAGGCAAATCTTAGGCGTCATTACCAGTATTGTTAACGACAACCTCTATTTTTTTTTATTTTTTTTCAATTCAATACTCTTTTTTCTATCGTAATGGAACGGAAAATGCTGTACAGTGATTTCTCGCTCCTTTGCCTTGATGACTAGGTGGAATTTGCAAAAGAGTGAGCTATTGAAGAGCTTATGAACCCAACGGAATGGGTTCCGCAGTCAATTTCCCAGCCAGATAACTTTCTTCATGGATGCCATCCACGCTAGGATATGCAGTCTACATATTGAATGGGTTTTGAGGTATGCTGATTTGTCCTCCATTACAGAAATTAATAGACCTTCTTACAAACCCATGCTTATTCATAAGCAATCGTATTTGTCCCATATACCGAAAATAAACTCTCCGAATGACATCTATTCCATCTTTTTTAGCATCACACATCACTGGAGAGAATGTCTGAGCCGAGATTTCCCTAAATTGTATTGAGAGTGGGAGTATGCCCAGAATTTCAGCTTAATCGGCTTGTATCTGAGGGGATAAGCATCGGGCGATTCAACTGTACAGCCTAAGCTGGTCCACTTCTAAGCCCTGAACTGTCGCAGTCTTGTGAACCATAAGTGTCCTGAGATTATCCTGTGCTGTCATCCGCTTAACGGAGGGGATTGTCTGGGAGAGGTTCTGGTCGACCTCTGATCTGAACCGGCTTTCACATCAGTAGATTTTCGGAAAAGCGTCGATCCCTTTTTCTTATGCTAGGCTGAGGGCAGGTTTCTCGGAGTGATTAGTTTAAACGACTATTTCACGGAAGTTATTTAGGGCTGACTGGGTGCTCCAGCCAAATTTTATGATATTATATATAAATCATTAGAGTAGCCTATAGCCTCAATTTGATGTCCTCAATAATGTTCAGCGGATAGGTAGGCTTAGGCTGATTAATGGTCAGCCTTGAACACTCGGTCATGACTGTCTTCCAAGAAAACCATTCATTTATCACATATAAGCATGTTTTCCTTAAAAAAAANNAAAAAAAACGGTGGTCATTTGTGTAACCAAGCATGATCCAGTATATCGCAAGGTGAAAATTTTTAAAAAATAAATTAAGGACAGTGTTATAAAGATCATGTTAATATCCTGAAGTATAATATGATAAAATTTAAGCCTGACTTATTCTAGATGTGGAATAATCATGACTAAAAAAAACTGTGAATAGCTAGAATTCAGTGGTTAGAAGTCGAGCTAAGAAGAAGATATAAGCCTGTAAGAAATGAAAGTTTTGAAAAAATTTCTACAAATAGGAGGTTTAACTGAAAGGTTTTTTCCTTTCTGTTGGGCATGATTTTCCTGGCATGGAAAAATCTTTGAAAATGCGCTAATTAAAAATTCTATTTGCAGATTCTAAAAAATCTTTGAACTATTGAAAACTCTCAAATTGAGTTGACCTTTCGGGGAAACAAAGCTTATTGGAAAAATTCATGCTCATTTATCATCACGTTTCTTAAAAGTAGCAGATTGGGAACGCCTGGGAAGAAATAAATTTTTTTATTTAAATGATTAACTATTAATTTTATTTTATTTAATTTTATTGAATTTTAAGACCTTCAGGTACTCAATGAACTAACGGTTGGAAGAATCTCTTTCCTACTAAGCTTGTAATGGTATATATGTAATAAATAAAGTTGATTAAATAAATGGATAGATAAATGCTTTCAAATTTTTGGGAATGCAATCCAACCCCTTTCATTTTTCGATTCACGTCCGTCCTCTCCATCTGCTCTCTTTCACTAGCACGTCTTTGTTCCATCGAATGAAATATACCTCTTTGAGGATAGCATAGCATCCCATTTTCACGATGGTCCTTTCTTTCCCAAAACGACCTGTCCACACTCAAACAAATCGTTCTTCTATAAAAAATTACAATCTTGTTTCCTTTGAAACTTCTACACCAATATCCTTTGGTTGTTTATTCGCCAAATTGATCAAATATTCCCATTTTCTTAAAAGCAAAGTGGTAGAATAAACTCCAAATAACGCCCCAGTGCATGGGTTGTTGATTGTTCGATTGAATTTTGTCTGAGCCGACTGGCTTCCTCTTCTTCCAGGTCGAAAATTTGATGCTAGGAAGAATAAAGGCAGTCGGAAAGCACTTTTAATGATTAAAACCTCTAATCAATGTGAAAAATGTTTTGGTGGAAAATTTAGCCCTATTTCTAATTGACACACATTTGATCGGGAGAATGCAAACAAAATATTTTACAAGTAAAGCTAACGGACGAGTTACCGGAGCAGCAGTGTCTGATCAGGTTTTGCACTTGTCTTTATAGGATAGTCATAAATCGCTCAACAGTAGCTACTTATGATTTTTGGTGACCCCTTTCCTAGGCCTTCGACCAAAACCAATACGCCAGCTTTCAATCCGTCCAATTCCGATTTCCGTTTCCGGAACGTGACTCCGCATTTCGTGCTGTCCCTACATTTCACAAACTCCTTATATGGAGTCGTTTGTACTTCATCCACGGCCCAAACTGAGTTTTCTCATGGAAGCCTGTTTACATTGCTTCGATGCCTTACAGCCATACATGGTAACATGCGCTTTGTATTTTTCAAGACCATGTAATTAATTTATTTGTTTATTTTTGCACTTGCAAAAGTACCACCAAACTTTGCAGAATTCAACATAAGCGATGCAGCTTCAACAGCTTATGAATTTCAATGTGCGAATGAAGGATATCTAGATTTTTTTATGGCTATGAGTGCTTCCCCAAATCTTTAGATGGTCATATTTCTCTTTCTAAAGCAATATNTTTGCAGCTAGAGGTGATTCTAAATTGGATTTAGGAAGAACAAGAAAAAACCATATGCGTCAGCATCTGACTAATGGAAGCGCTTCCCGAAGTACATCAACAACTGCTTTACCTAATTGAAGTGTTCTATTCTAGGAATAAACCCCTGTAGGCACGGATCAAGGCCTCATTCGCTAATAGCATAGAGCCAAATTTAGGCTATGAAGCTGGACAGGACAGAAGCAGTATTAAATGAGTTCAATGGGTTCATCATTATGGATTCTAGGCTGATTGTGGAGCCAAATTTAAGATTTGGTTGAGATACCGAGTTAGGCTGCCTTTGCTCATTGCCTTTCTACTATCAGTCGTATCTGGTTCAGATGGCCGAAAGTTAGCCCATGGACCCAATATGCCCTCGGCCAAGTTAGCTCTGGATTCTCAAGATTTTTTTTCAAGTCGAGGAAAATTGGCTTGGAATTTCTCGGCTCGACGAGAGAGTAACTTAATGCTGATTTCAAATGGCTTCAATTCAGCTTCAGTTTTTGATAGTATAAAGAAGGATAAAACTAGTATTAGGAAGTCAGGTAGAAAAT